CTGTAATAAATTTTGAAAATATTTATTGCTTGTACAGTTGCGAGTTAGCCAAGGAGTTAGCAGTTGAAAGAGAGATGAATTTTATAAAAATAATAAGAGTTTGAAAATTATTCTCAGTTTAATCTTGGGTCTTCAAGTAAATTTTTCAGCTTACGAAATGAGTTTGAAATAAAGGTTCTGTAATAGCTTCTACAAATTTATATCGTTTGAACAGTTGCGTCTGTATACCTAATTGAAAGTGAGACGAATTTAGTTAAAAATAAAGTATTGCAAATTATTCTCAGTTTGATCTTGGGTTGTCAAGTGAACTTATAACTAACGAAATGAGTTTGGAATCTCTTCAAAGATATATAAATAGTCAATCAAGGTGTGAAAATGAATTGGGAAAATTATTAAATGCTTTTTATGAAAGTCAGAAGTGGTCACAAGACGGTATTTATTTCAGACTTTCAAATTTATTTAAATTGTCATAATGTGAATCTAAATTTCACAGTGCTCAGTTTTTGGGGTTATCCTTCCAAAACTTTGTTGAATTCAAGTTTTTTTGATTTCGGACAATTTAACGATTGTATCAGATATCAACATGAATCTTTCAGAGGAAAGTATTGCATTGCAAAGTTTTTGGCAGCGAAAGTTAAAACAAATAAAGTTAATTTCGAAAATTCTCATCCAATTTGGATATCGCTAACGAAAATAATAAAAGATTTCAAATCTGGTTTATGTGTTCCTAGCGTTTGTAAAGAAAATGAGTTACATAAAATTGGAAAGGATTTGATTAATCAACACGATGTTCAGTTTGGTACTTTGCAATGCTATGAGCCTTATACTTTCACAAGAATTGATTACGTGTTTATGTAAGTTCCACTTTGCAATTTCTTATGAATAAAAAGTTCAGTTTAAAAGAGTTGTTTGCAGGTCCATTTTATTGACACTAACGTTACTCGTTCTGTTCTCAACATTCTGTGAAAGTTTTCTGAGAAAATCGAAGAAGAACTCAAATACGTTTTTATCTTCCTTTTCAATTATTACAAATTTTAAAGAACTAGTAACGGTGAACAAGGATCCTGCAATCATTCGATGTATCGATGGAATAAAAGTTTTGACAGCTGTTTGGATCATTATTGGTCATAGAAATGATTTGATATCTGATCTTTTTGGTTATAAAGCAAATATGCCAAATAGAAATCTACTGGAATCAACAATAAATAATTTCATGACCAGATACTTTCGAGCTGTGGACACATTTCTAGTATGTTCGGCTATTCTTACCGTTCCAACATTTCTTAAACTGCTCGACAGGTGATCATTCTTTCAAAATCGTTTTCTTAGTTTTATATATTTTGTTATTTCAGAGGAAACTTCAATCTATTCAAAACTATTTTCATTCGATATCTCAGATTTCTCCCTTTGCTTTCATTTCTGATGATGTTCTCAATAAGCAATTTACCTCACATCTTGACAAGTGGACCAATGTTTTTCTTGAATAGAACTAGAAGTACGCAATGCTCAGAAACTTGGTGGTCATCTCTGCTATTTATACAAAATTTTGTGCATGTTGGCTTTAGTGTGAGATGCTTGAATATTAAATAATTATATTTACTGAATGTTATGATTGAAATGATATTTTTCAGTGCATGAATCACGCGTGGTACCTTGCTGTTGATCTACAACTGTTTGCTTCAGCCACAGTGTTTGCTTACCTCCTTTGGGCATTTGGAAAAAGATCTCTAATCATCATAATTTTAGTGATCTTTTCAGTTCAATATAGCATTTTCTCTATGATAGAAAAGTAAATATCAGGAAATATTTCCAACCTCATTAGCACATTTCCAGTGTGATAACAATACGAATTTGTTTTCAGCAATACTTTGATTAGTGTTTTTCGTTATAAACAACCTCAGTATCGACTTGGAGAGTATTTGGTTGGAATTGCATTTGGATATTTGATTTACACAAGCAACGGAAAGAAATTGAGGCTTGGAAAATTCATCACTTTGTCATGTTGGATATTATCATTGGGATTTATTGGAATACACACTTTCACAAGGATTTGGTGGACTTCTAACAGTACAATAAATCATATACTTCAAGCGACCCATGTTGAAGCATGGACATGTTCCATATCTTGGATTGTTTTTGCTTGCCATGTGCTGAAATCTGGAAGCATTTTAAGAAAATTTCTTTCGAGTATATTTTGGCAACCTTTATCAAAATTATGCTTGAGCATTTATTTAATTCATTTCAAATATCTAGAATTAACAGATTTCAATCAAAAAGTATTTATTGTCCGAACATTATCACAAAGGTTGCTTCTTTTTACATCCGATGTGATCATATCTTTCAGCCTCGGTTTGATTTTTTACTTGCTGATTGAAGCACCAGCATCGAAACTTATTGGAAGAACTTTTAAAACTAAGAAGCGATAAGACATTGAATTAATTTTGTTAGGTTTCATAAGTACTGAGATTTACTTGCACAAAAATTTATTTCATAAAAAGGAATTGATTTCCATATTATGTTTTCATTTATTGGTCAAAGAGTTCTTGAATTTCAAGCAGTGAAATATCAAATAATAAAAAATTTAAACTATTGAATAGTACAATTATCCTTTAAATAAAATTATTTCCAGATGGTTTAAAAATAATCATTTATATTCTCAAGTTTCAAACGAGGTTGAAAATTTTCTTTTAACTGTTCATGTTTTTGTTACGTCAATCGTCATGTTGCTTAAACTAAATCTTATAGAGCATCTAAGCAACCACCAGAACTTTTATTATGATGAGATTTGTGTTTTTATGATGTTAAATTGTGTAAATCTGTGATGCTTGTTTACTTCAACTTGCTTAAGGATATGAAATAATACTAAATTAAAACTTAAACTTTGAGATTTAGGCATGAGTTGTATTTTGGAAACTTGTTTCCATATGTGTCTTGCATTGCTAATTAATTAATCACTTGTGTCATCTGATGTCATCCTATTTACCTAAATATAATGCATGAGAAAAAGTTGCAGCATGTACTGAAAAACAACTTTCTCAAATAATCCTCGGACTTAATTCTAAAAGTTGGATTTTGGCAGATTTTTTTCGATTTTATCCTTTCCAGCGCTCATCAAGCCATGTGTGAGCCAAAGTCAATGTCTCTAACTTAAAATTTTCACTTGTTCCTTCATTAATTTTAATTTAAATGCACCATTAAATTGTTAAAGTTTTTTTTTAAGAATTTCCATAAACTTCCATAAGTGAAAAACCTCTATAATTCTGACTCCCTTCAGTAAGTTCCTATCGAGCGTCCACTGTGATAGCTTTTAAAATTTGTATCGTTTTAACTGTTGCCAGAAAATGAGACGAGCTGATTAATGAAAAATAAAAGTTTGAAAATTATTCTCAGTTTGATCTTGAGTTTTCAAGTAGACTTATAACTAACCAAATGAGTTTGAAGTAAAAAGTATCGTAATAGCTTCTAAAAATTTACATCGTTTGAACAGTTGAAAAAAAAATGAGATCAACTTAAAAAAATAAGAGCTATGAAAAATATTTTCAGTTTGATCTTGGGTTTTCAAGTGAGCTTACAACTAACGAAATGAGTTTCAAGTCTCTTCAAGTGTATTTTAATGGTCAATCAAGGTGTGAAAATGAATTGGGAAAATTATTAAATGCTTCTTATGAAAGTGAGAAGTGGGCACAAGACGGTATTTACTTCAGAATTTCATATTTATTTATATTGTCATAATGCGAATCTAAATTTTACAGTGCTTAGTTTTTGGGGTGATCCTTCCAAAGCTTTGTTGAATTCAAGTTGGTTTGACTTCGGACAATTTAACGACTGCATCGGATATCAGCATGAATCTTTCAGAGGAAAGTATTGCATTGCGAGGTTTTTGCCAGCGAAAGTTAAAAGCAATAAAGTGAACCTCGAAGATTCTCATCCAATTTGGACATCGCTAGCGAAAATAACAAAAGATTTCAAATCTGGTTTATGTGTTCCTAGCGTTTGTAAAGAAGATGAGTTACATAAAATTGGAAAGGATTTGATTAATCAACACGATGTTCAGCTGGGTAACGTGCAATGTTATGCGCCTTATACTTTCACAAAAATTGATTACGTGTTTATGTAAGTTCGACTTTACAATTTCTTTTGAATGAGAAGTTATCAAATGAATTGTTTGCAGGTCCATTTTAATGACACTAACGTTACTCGTTCTGTTTTCAACATTCTGTGAGAGTTTTCTGAGAAAATCACAGAAGAACTCAAATACGTTTTTGTCTTCCTTTTCTATTATTACAAATTTCAGAGAACTTAAAACGTTGAACAAGGATCCTGCAATCATTCGATGCATCGATGGAATAAAAGTTTTGACAGCTGTTTGGATCATTATTGGTCATAGAAATGATATGATAACTCAACTTTTTGGTGATAAAGCAATAATGCCAAATAGGAATCTATGGGAATCAACAATAAATAATTTTATAACCAGATACTTTCGAGCTGTGGACACGTTTCTAGCATGTTCGGCTATTCTTACTGTTCAAACATTTTTAAAACTGCTCGATAGGTGATCATTCTTTAAAAATCATTTTCTAGGTTTTATAATTTTATTTTTTTTTTCAGAGGAAATTTCAATCTGTTGAAAACTATTTTCATTCGATATCTCAGGTTTCTCCCTTTGCTATCATTTCTGATGATGTTCTCAATAAGCAATTTACCTCATATCTTAACAAGTGGACCAATGTTCTTCTTGAATAGAACAAGAAGTACGGGGTGCTCGAGAACTTGGTGGTCATCTCTGCTTTTTATACAAAATTTTGTACATGCTGAGTATAGTGTGAGATGTTTGAACATTTAATAATTATATTTACTAAAAAGTTATAATTGCAATGATATTTTTCAGTGCATGAATTACGCGTGGTATCTTGCTGTTGATCTACAACTTTTTGCTTCAGCCACAGTGTTTGCTTACCTCCTTTGGGCATTTGGAAAAAGATCTCTAATCATTATAATTTTAGTGATCTTTTCAGTTCAATATAGCATTTTCTCTATGATAGAAAAGTAAATATCAAGAAATATTTCCAACCTCATTAGCACATTTCCAGTGTGATAACAATACGAATTTGTTTTCAGCAATACTTTGATTAGTGTTTTTCGTTATAAACAACCTCAGTATCGACTTGGAGAGTATTTGGTTGGAATTGCATTTGGATACTTGATTTACACAAGCAACGGAAAGAAATTGAGGCTTGGAAAATTCATCACTTTGTCATGTTGGATATTATCATTGGGATTTATTGGAATACACACTTTCACAAGGATTTGGTGGACTTCTAACAGTACAATAAATCATATACTTCAAGCAACCAATGTTGAAGCATGGACATGTTCCATATCTTGGATCGTTTTTGCTTGCCATGTGCTGAAATCTGGAAGCATTATAAGAAAAATTTTCTCGAGTATGTTCTGGCAACCTTTATCAAAATTATGCTTGAGCATTTATTTAATTCATTTCAAATATCTAGAATTAACAGATTTCAATCAAAAAGTATTTATTGTCCGAACATTATCACAAAGGTTGCTTCTTTTTACATCCGATGTGATCATATCTTTCAGCCTCGGTTTGATTTTTTACTTGCTGATTGAAGCACCAGCATCGAAACTTATTGGAAGAACTTTTAAAGCCAAGAAACGATAAGATATTGAAGTTGTTTTGTTAGGTTTCATAAGTACTGAGATTTACTTGCACAAAAATTTATTTCATAAAAAGGAATTGATTTCCATATTATGTTTTCATTTATCGGTCAAAGATTTCTTGAATTTCAAACAGTGAAATATCAAATACTTAGAAATTTCAAATAATTAAATAGTACAAGTTTCCTTTAAATAAATTTTTTTTTCAGATTGTTTATAAATTATCAGTTTTGTCCTCAAGTTCCTAACGAGGATTGAAAAATTCTTTTCATGGAACTTTTTACGAGTTAAGTCACGTCAATTATCAGGTTTTTAAACTTAATAGTTGTACATAAATGTCATTGAATTTCGATTTCAGCTTGAAAGGCTAATTAATGACATCCTGAGTTTTGATCAGGAACAATAACATTATTCTTACTCGTTAGTTCGTATCGTTTCGAAATTTAAAATTACCAGAAGAAGAAAATGTCTGTTGTTTGGTCATTTGCTATTTGAATTGTTGTTATTATGTTTTAAGGTTGAGTAATTTTATTTTTAAAACGTTTGATTCTTTCCGTAATAAATTCCGAATAAAAAAAAAAAAATCAATCAGCAAATAACTTCTTAAAATTTTCAAAGTCTCTTAAACCTAATGCAAGCAATTATCTAAATTGTCAAAGAAATTTACGGATGTTCGTTGAAAATCGACAGAATTAATTGTCGGAAACTTTATAAATTTAACATGTCACTTAAGGAGTAATTATGGAGAAAGATTTGTCAAATTATTCTGTTCCAGACCAAAAATTAGTGTGAAGTTGATTGTTTCCCTGATAATTTTTGAAAGTTTCTTTCACAAACATTGCATTTATGTCATTTGGATTGAAGAAAATATTTCCTTAAGACGACGTAGACATAATTTTTCCAGTTAAAATTCTATATTCATCAATAACATATCAGAAGCATAAATTCCTTTGAGATTCTATGTAGAACGGTGCTTAAGGCAGCATTAGATTAATTGAAATCATAGTCATTTATCAATGAATTCATTTTCATCCATCGTCCCTTAATGCTCGAATAATTACGAAAATTATTAATTCAAGCTTTCAATTATGGTTGAGATAATTCACGAAAGCAATAAAAGCACGTCAAAAGCTTTCAAGTGTTACGAAAATTTCCAACTAAGCAGGAAGGGAAAATATTTTCTATGGTTGGACATTTTTTAAGTTTCAAACAACTTTCAAGCAAACAAAATTAAAGTTTTTTTAATTTAATTTTAAATTTTATAGATTCAATCACATTTGGGACATGCTGTAAATAATTCTTTGTTGTGAATCTTATACGATTCCGGAATATAATTTCAATTCAAGTTTTTCATTCTTTTGAATATTCTTTTAAATATTTGATGGTAACCAGGGACTCGATGGAAACATTTTCTCGATCAACTCTTTGTATGACTAAATATTGTTTTAAAAAGGCAATTTTTATTCCCATCATCTCAGATTTTGAAAGCGATATCACGTTTGAAACAAATTTTTAGTATTGAAAATGTTAATTCCTTCAAGATTTGAATTGACAGAATGTAAACTACGAGTAAAATTTTTCTTGGTTTTGTGGTTTTAAATTCTCGTGACGTTGATGACATTGCAAGAATTATTTGCACTTGTTTAAGTCTTAACATGGAAATCGTGTTATTTTTCTATAATAAAAATTTATTTAGTGTGCTATTAATAAATTAAATTTGTTAAATTGAAAATTCTCGAATCACTCATAAAATTTGTACAGTTTTTGAAATTGCGCAATTTTTCATTTTCGAAATAAATATTGTCGTGGCATTTCACTCACGTTTATATTTAATCTAGACTTAATTTATGAACAATTTTTTCGTTTAAGGCTTGCATTAATTAATATTTCGCAGAATAACTAACGAGAATCACGTTGATGTTAATTTCCTGGAAATGCAATGAAAACATTTTATTATCAGTGAAAGCTTCTGGGTACAAAGGTATCATCATCATTTTGGGATTAACGCTTAGTGGAATTATGTATGTGAAACATCAAAATTGTAGGCACTTTGGCAGAGATATAATGTTGTTGAATATCTATCTTGCATATTCAGCAGAGAATCATTTTCAATTATAATCTTAATGAGCAACTTTTAAAAGCATTTACAAAGATAATTTTTGGTTTTGCCTCTGAGTGTTAAAAATGAAAAAGGAATAAAATATAATTTAGTTAAGGAGCGTTGAAGCTTTTTATGTAAACAAAATTTGTTTACAAAGTAAGGAAGAATTTGAATGAAAAATAAAATATTTAATGAAACATTTCATTAAAGAGACGAGACACTAAATACTCGTGACGTGCTGCAGATTTCCATTTCATGTTGTTTATTAAATATGCTCCATTCAGAATAAAAAAACCAACTTTTCCGTCTCATATTGTAAAAATAGAGAAAATATTTAATTTTAATATTTTATGCGATTTCTTTTTCATTTAAAATGGAAATTGCTCAGGCTATCCACTGAATGAAGTTTATAAAACCATCCATAATTTTCTATTTCACAAAAAGTTAAAAATTCGTTTGCAATAAAGAACAATAATCATAAATTATTCTATGCTCAGGAATAACTGAATAAATAATTGTTCTCAAGTATTTATTTTTCATTCCTTAACTAAAAGTCAAGCAACTATGGGAAGCATTTTCACTTTAATCATGATGAGTTTACTCAAGCTTTCATCAAATTTGTTGAAATGAAATGGGTTGTGAATGAGATGAGATAAAAATTCGTTTAAATGCTTGAGGATTAACAGAAAAATTAACTAACGAAAAGTTTTTTAAAATAAGCAAAATATTTAAGAAGAAATTTCGAGGCTTTCAAACCAAACTCTTAAGATATAAAAAAAATCTCCAAAGAATAAAATTTAACTTAGAATGTTCAACATTTTCTACTCGCAATTGAATAATCAAGATTAAAGTTAAACTTTTCCTAATAAATAAATAATGACGATATAATTCAAGACGTCTGCGTTGTGATTTTAGTATAACTAAAAGAAGGAATGAAATGTATTCGAAAGAAAGGAAAATTGAGTGAACATCTTTCATAATTTAAACAATAATTTCTTTCATTGTTTTCATTTCCTTTTCGCTTTAACTCGACAAAAGAGCAATCGGAAAGCAGCAACAAAAGAATGAAAAGTATCACAGATTTTAAAAAGGCTGATGCTAAACTGCTTTATAACGATAAAATAAATACAAAGCGGAAAGTGGAGTGATTTTCATCAAAAATTTGTTTAGCTGGAAAAGCGAGTCCAAAGATAACTCTGTGCAGTCTATTGAACTCAGAAATGAATGAATGAGAGAAAATCCTTTGAGGCAAACATTGTTCTATAACATTTTCTCATTTTTCGTGGTTTTCTATACTTCTCAAATAGTTTACTTTTAATTTCATATCACAACGTTGATGGAAGGTAAAGGATGTTGAATGCGAATCACCCGAAAAATTGTTTCCTTTCATTGTACAATTTTAAAGTTCTTTAATCGTTCATGAATGTTTCTTTTGAATTTCTGTATCCCCAGAAAGTACAATTGAAGAATGAATCGATTCCAACACTTCTTGATACTTAACGCCAGATGAAAGTCAAGATAAACATCAAATGGGTAAACTGAAAATCAATTCGAAATGAAAAGCACTCAAATAAACAAAGTCTGATTCAATGTGATGTGGAGAAAATGATTTTTTAAGCAAATCAAACCCATTAAAATTCAGGATTAAGCTTCATCAAGTTTCCTTCACTTGAAAATACAACATAAACAAATACTTTTACAAATTTCCACATATAAAAAGGTTCGTGGTAAGAGGAAAAGAACAGACTTGGAATAGTTAAGAAACGTTTAAGAATTTTTCTATCCATTGCAATTGCATAGATAAATAAACAATTGAAATTGTTTTCACAAAATTTCTAGTTTTAAATTTTTATCAGTTAATGTTGAAATTTATTTCCATTCGGACACATCGCTGTGCCAAAAATACCAAATTTGAGATTATTTTCGATTGAACAAAATAAGGAAACTCTCTCGAGCAAAATGATTGCATTAAGAATGTTTTGTCGGTTGAGAAAGATAAATAAGAATTTGTTAGCTCAATGTGGAGCCCAAGCCTATATTTCATTTTTTATTCTTACCACTAACTCAGACAATTTGCTCAACTCCACTTGCTCTAATGTTCTGATCAAACAAGTCCCCGCATTGCCACAAATCTACCAAAACAAAGAAGACTTTTTATGATGCCATAGTCAATTGTCCAAATTTATAATTTTCATGTTCCTTTTCTCTCGACGTAAGCATTTTAGAAAACAATAAAATTGTCTCAATTTGTAATGTGGACAGGAAGCATGAAAAAACATACAAAACTCTTCTGTAAATAACTTAAAAAAAATGCTTTAAGCCAAAGAAGAGTCATAAGCAATTCAATTTTCTCAGCAGAAATTTATTATTGCAAATAACGAATTTTATTACATAGGAAGAATTGGTTAAGGAAAAGATAGCGACGAGAGACTTTCATATGACATTTATTCCTGTTTCCATCTTTTTTTTCGGGGGATCTTGGCAGGAAACCTTCACCTAAAAAGTTATTTATACATAAAAAGTGATTTGAGATGCTTTTATGTAGAATAATTTCTGTCGCAGACATTGAAATGACTGAAAGATGTTTTATTTGTCGTTAAAATACTTGAATATTGTAAAATATTTTTATAGACATAAACTCGATGAAGTTACTGTATAAATATGTACTTAAAAATGAAATGAAATTAACCGAGTGTTGCGCTCATTATTTAAAAGTAACACCGACCTTGATCTCATGCTTTCTATTACAAAAATCTGGACTTAAAGATTAAGTTTCAGAATCGTTCGCTTAATGGATTTGATGAAACCATATTCTGACAATAATGAACATTTCAATTTTATCACTTGAGTCCCTCAAAGCTAAACTCAACCATCGCAACAAGCCATCACGGCAATGTCGTAAGGTATGTAAATGATATAATAACTGCTGTTGCTGCGGCGGCATTGATGACGAAGGAAAAGAAACCAAGCCAAAGGTATCGTTTAGCCGAAATTATTATTTCGATGTATATTTTAAACCCAAAGCTGTCTACCACGTGTCACAATCTTGAAGTTTTTCGGTTCAAGGGAAACAAATGAAGAAGAAATTTTTGTGTTTTCTTTCACGCTGTAAATTTAAATTAAAGAGAATTAATTTAAATATCTTTACGTGGAAAATAAAATCTTGTTGGAAATTCATAAACAAAATTTTCCTGTCGTTTCCCGGCTCAATATCATGAAAACGAATGGAAATTGTCCTAAATATCAATCAGATTGGAGGTGAAAATTTCTTTCACCCTGCTCACAAATTTGATATCTAATTGAAACAATTGTGAAATAAAATCATTTTCTGACAGTGCAATAATAAATTTTATTTAATAAGCTTGTTAGCCTCATCGAACTCAAGTGTTTTTAGAAATTATCAACTTTCATTTCAATTTTATTCATCAAAAAAGAAATTAAAATGTGACATTTGAAAATGTTAATTCTCTTTTCTCACTTTCAATCAAGACACTTGAAACGTTACCCTCAACCAATGCACACTATAATCAATTCATTTTTGAAGGTTTTTCTATTTTTTCCTGCCAAAAAAGTCATTAAAACGTTTTTCGTTTTCTACCATCCGTGGCTGAAGCACATTATCAGTTGAAAAAGAAGCGTCATTTCTTTGGCATTTATTTTCAATCACATTGCATTCCCGTGTTCTATTGAAAAATAAGGAAAATAGATTTTATTGCATGCAAAACATCTTGCTACAAGTGACAAGTTTAAAGACCTTATAGAAGAAATACTTTTGATCCTCTTAGCGAGCGGTAAAATGAGCGTTTCATTGGAAAGAATATCTTCACTTTAGTGCGACAACAAACAGAAATTTTCGCCCCCGCTTCCGTGCCACGGAAGAAGACAAGAAAAAAATCATCTCAAATTTAAATTATTTATTTATTTTTCTTCCAGGTTTTTTCTTTCAGCTTGAAACTTGCTGAGAATACTCATAGCGTGAAGAAGTCATTTTATGTAGATGGAAAATCACTTAAAATGCTATAAAGAGGCACTCGATTTGAATTCTTCTTATTCCCGTATTTTGACAACTAACGCTAAAAGTTTTGTATACGAAATACGAATAAAACCCACGTAGATGTTTAAAAATACAAAAAATATAATTTATTGAACGTCAAAACTTTCGACTTTCAACGCTAAAGTAAATTTAAAGTTGTATCGGCATATATGAAGATGAAAAGCTTTTTGTTGTCGGTAAATGAACTTGTATTTACGGAAAAAAACTGACTTTACAATTATTTAAAGAAGAACTTAATAAGGAAAAGTTTTATGCGGAGCTTAAAAATGTTTATTGAAAATTAAATTGCCATCCGCTTTCAAAAACCTTAAACCACACATTGTTAAAAGGAAAACGAGATTTTTTCGTCTTTTTTCATTCATTCAAGCACCGATAAAGTTTTCTTTTGTTAACAACGTTGCTTTCAAGTGATGGGAGAAGCTTTTCGTAAAGTACAAGGAAAAGAATGCTAGTGAAAAAGCTGCAATAATATTTTATGAGTCATTTTTTTCATCGTCTTCAAGAATAATCTACATCATGAGACAGAAGTGATCTTGACTGTATTTAATAAGTGAACTTCAATGGCTTTATCGAATCAATATTATAATGTCGATGATAAATTGGTAAATCAATCTATTGTGAAATGCTTTTCTTTTCGATTCTGCAAGACAGGAAGCTTAGTGTTGGGTGGCAAGAGTGAAACGAAATCATAAATCTGAATAACAAAGATAAGTAGCTTTTCTCACGAAATAAAAGGAAAGAAAAGAAAGAAATGAGGAAAATATCTCTTGAATAATATGAAAGAAATATTCTTGTGAAAATATTTACACCATCATAAAGATAGCAAAAAATAAGATTGAAACGAGAACAGATCAAGCTCATTTATATTTAAGATTTTCAACATTATTTGCGAATTAAATGGATTGCGAAATTTCATTCTCGCTTCCTTCATGATTCGCTTTTCTTTCTCATTTTTATTGATGCATCATTCAAGATTCAAAGCTCAATGATTAAATGGCTTTTCACTTGAATGGTTATAGTTATTTTACAATTTTCATAACTTCCATGATTGCTTCGTCTATCGAATCGGACGGCACTCGTTATGTGGTCCCAACATGATTATGAAGGGAAAGTTTATTTTTATAATAGACAACCAAATGAGATAGCAGCACAACAAAAGATAATGATTAGTTTTTATGTTTCAAAACCTTTCATCTGTTCAGTCGGAAAAAGTTTTTCCTTTTATGATTTTATTACTTTATTTAACTCTGGGTATTGTTTGAGAAGAACAATATTGTAAAATCTAAAATGAGAAGAAAAGTTGAAAGGTGATGTTGGTGGATGCATAAACATTTTATGCTTCTCTCATGTCTTTAAACGTAATCTAAACATTTCATCAGACATCATAGTATTTGAAATTCATATTTCTGGTCGAAATATTTCGCCACACAGCATTAAAATGTAAGCACATTTTATCCTCAAAGGCATGCATTTCATATCAAGAGTATCCTTTCATCCCTTGCAATATTCTCATGGTCAGAACTTCGACGTAATCATGTTGTGGCATTAAGCAAGCACTTTTCATTAGATACTTTTCAAACACCTTCTGGATATAAGCACAAACTAAAAAAGGCGTTGTGTTTGTTGGGCGAACGAGAAACAAGAAGCAAGTTGAAACATTTATGAAATGTGAAATGTGTTGAAGTTTTCTTATTTCGTAAATGGAAAATATTCTGTAAAATAAATGGAAAGCAAATGCACATATCAATTTTCCTCCAAAATCTCAAATAAGGCAACGATTGAATATTATAGAAGAACGGGAAGTCGATAGATGGAAGGAGAGTTGATAAGTGTAATATTGACGTTGGTCCATAGTTAAATGCATCTGCTTATTTGCTTCTTCACATTGCCACATTTTGAGGTTTCACAAGTTCCAAGCGTTGTTGATAACATTACACATTTAGATAAATAGCACTTCATCGAGACCAACTGAAACAGCAAATTGAATCACTTTAATTGCAGCATTATAATCTGAAATTCAGTAAGTGTTGAAGTTATCTATAATCTATATCAATGCACATTGGCTAATGGAAAACTTTTGACTTCCACGTTTCAAGTCATTTCAATTAAAACGAATGTCTTGTGTAAAGAAAACTTTCGCCCGACTCTTTCTTCCCTGACTTGATTAAAATTTCATGAAGAAGCAAAAACTAGCAAAACTTTCATAAATAAATATTTCGCCGTAAGCTCCTTTCATCACATCTTAAAAGTTAATTTACATGTCTTCACACACTACATTGTTGATGTATGAAAAATTTTGTAGATAGATAAATGAAAAATAATTGTTTTCTCACCATAATCCTTTTGAAGCAAATTTTATTTAAGGCGAGGAGTTAAAAAAGAGAATTTATTATGTTTAGTTTCAGAAATCATTTGATAGCAAAAGATTAAATTGGAATTCTTTTAACAGCCACTTTTACTTCATACTTGGTCGTTTGATGCACATTTTTGGCAATAACAACATTTTCTGAAGTTCATTAAACTTTATTCGAAAGTGATGCGAATATAAATAGAAATATAATCAACAACACTTCATCTTAAGTGCTACGAAATTAGTTTTGATTGAGTTCAATATTGCAATTAATTCGCAAATCTCTGGTTCAAAGACACGTCAGTGAAAATAAAGTTGACGCTTATTAAAAATTCAAATCACATTTTCAATTTACTTTGTGCAGCAAATGGAAAGAGGCTCGTTGAATTCACGCTAACAAAATATGAATCAATTTCTTCCCTTGATGAATGTTAACAAATGTTTCTGTCATTGCTATCGATGAAACATTTTTATTCTCCGAAAAGACCTAAAAAAATGTTTTTAATAGTTGACTAAAAACTTTCTCATAAAGGAAACGTAGATGATTCATTTTTAACAAATTTGATATATCATAGCAATTTCTGCACGCTCTTGACTCACGGGACGTAGCAAAAATAATAACAATTTTAAGCACAAAACAAAACACCAGCATGCAATCAAACTCTGTTGTAAAAATAGCATGTTGTGAGAGTTTATTTGCCGCATGATATGTAAAATAGTGAAAAAATATTTCGCGTTATTTACATTTGAAAAATTTATGGGACTTTTCTCGAGTTTTCGCGGAAAACTTCATTCGAGAGTGAGTTGACGTTGTTTGCTTGATGAAAACTCAACTCTCACGGTTTTAGTGGAATTGTGAAACATTTTTATATTCCATGGTAAAGCTTCAGCGCTAAGTGTTTGAAAAGGTTTACGGGAATTTCCTGGTGCGATAATGTATTGCAACTGACATTGGACGCAATATTTGATGAATTTAATTCCTGTAAAATTAATGTTGATCCCAATCTGATAAATGATAGAATTTACATTCGCCATGTGGATTGCGGTGATAAATAAATCTGCGGGATGAAATTTATTACAACGTAAAAGCTGAAATAAAAGTTAAAATAAGTTACATATTTACACTCATCTTTACATTATTTACGATGTAAACTGTTCAGTTGGGCTGAAAATTGTTTCCGTTTAAAGCACATCAACAGAATCAGACGGAAATAATCACAAATGAAATCTGATAATGTCATCAAAGCAGAAGCTAATTTGATAATTTGTCCAGTCAAATTTCAATAATCATGAAAATTAACATTGAAAAATATAAATCAGTCGATATTTGCCTTTTTTTACTTCTCATACATAAATTTATAATAAATCAAATATTTTCTGGTTCAACGAGAGCATCGAAAAAAAATCAGAAGCATTATCGATGTTGTCATTAATAATTCAATTCATTCTATGCGACAAATTATGATTCATTCAGGAAATATTTGTTGCAAAAACTTTTTGTTTTCACTTCAAAAATCATCAACTAAATAAATGAAAACCACATAAACAGATGAACAACATTAAACTTATAGAGTCTGAAAATTTTATAAACAAAAAACATTTTAATGAATTAGTCAAATTAATTGTTACCCAATCATCAGATAAGAGTTGGAAAAATAATTTAAAATTAACTTGACATTAAAGAAATTCTTCTGATTCCATTTCAAGAAAAAATGGAAGTAAGAAATTCGTAATTAACTTCATTCGTCTTTACCTAATGCTTGCAAGTTGCAACAATGTTTTCTAATCCTCGGAAGACAGCAATAAAATCTTTCCACAGCTTTCTAACAGATTTCTTTTCAAATGGCCACAAGAGAGATATCGAACAAAAATAAATTTTAAATCTCAACTTATTTTTTTTCTCATTTTATGGTTGAAAAATTGTAAAGTTACCGAACGTTTGTTGCTTGAAAATACTTTTAAATAATTCAGGAAATAGATTTAAAGCTACTCTATTAACCATGGAGTATTTATGAACTAATCCTTTCAACACTTTCCTACGTGAGATTAATGTATGCAGCAAGTAATCATAAATGTTATTTCTTCCAGTGATAAAATTTAAGTTATGCCGAAAAGGGAAGTATTTTCACAACAAATCAAGATTTATGATTAAATGCTATCATCAACATTCATAAACGCTGCATGTAAATCATGAGAATATTTTCCCTCTTGAAATTTTCATCTCATTCGTTCATTTTTCTGTCATATCTATTGTGACTACAATGATTCCATTTCTTCGTGTCGTAATAAATTGAAAGGCAAATGAATATCTAAACTTATTGATGAGATACAAAATTGAAACAACTCTTGACATGTAAAAGAGATTATTTTTCATGATTCTTAAGACGATGGCAAAGTAGAATTAAGCGTAATCTTAATTTATTTCGAGCTAAATTTTCTATCAAATATCGATCCGAAAAGCCAGCATAGTCACTTGCTTTAGCTCACAATTGCTCGAGTTTAAACTGGAAGCTTTTTAGATCTTAATTCACTTGATAAGCCTTGACAAGTTGAAGTGAATTACAATTCAATGTCTTTAAGTTAGTAGAAAAATTCAAAATTTAATCAACGATGAACTTTAAGGTGTCTCAACTTTCAACTGTTTAATCACAAGTATGACAGTCAAAAACAGCTTCAAATCTTTTTTTAAATCGAATTGTATGAAAAGGAAACGATGAATAGTGTACATAAGAATGATTTTTCTTTTGGCATCAGCGAAACTTCGAATCGCATAAGTATCTATCAGGCGTACAAGAAATATCACGGTAAAAAATGTTTCAATTTCTTCCTTTCTTTCCTTTCTTGTGTGATAAATAAGATACATTAAATTATCATAAAATGTGCTTGAATTTCATTGATTTTCCTTTATCACAGTTTAATGTATTTTTATTACTTTATTTCTCTTTTGCTACCAGCATCAGAAATGATCTTTAATTTATGTTTATTTGTGAGAGGGAAAAAAAGAAGAATTTCATATGTCTCGTGTGTTATAACGATTCATTATGTATGAGACTTCTATTTCCCCAATTGAGAATCTCCTTGCTGCATATATTTATCTCACTATGTGCATGTACACGGATGAATTAAAGTTTAAAGCAAAAAATGAAGATTTATTGCGAAAAAATTGATTTTTTAGTTTTGATTCTCACAATTTTCTGAACTTGATGTTTGACCCTTTTTTCTCTCCTGGCTTCGAATTCAAAAATGATAAATGTTTGTTGTACAAAAATGTATGTGAACAATGAGGGAATTAACCCATTTGAACATTAGAAAAGCCGAAAATGATTTACTTCCAAGTTACAACATAAAATTTACAACTTTTCCTTCTCTTGACATTAATTCTTGTAATTAAAATTTTAATAAATTTGAAATTTATTTTTACAATTGTTAATTCTTTTGAGTTTATTCTAAATTGAGTTTATTCTTGTTTTATTTTAAATCGACATAGACACTTCAAGTTCTTAATTTTACTTTTGGCACAATTGGCAAACTATCGCAACATATTTCAACATTTCATAAAAATTATGCAAAATTATTTTACTACTGCTGAGGATTGTTCTAAATTTTATAAATCTCACTTGTCGACTTTATAAGATCATAAAATTTTGTCTACTTGACCGTCAAATCCTTTTACAATCACAACAAATCTCCTGAGATAAGTAATTTGCTTCTGTTTGTTCATTTTACTATTGAAGCTTATGTTATTTCGATACATATTGTTTATTACCTTTTGTGTATGCATATCTACATTGTGTTGTGCCATAAAAATGTGCCATAGATATTACCATTCATATTCTCTCTGTCGAATGTCGTACATATAAAACCATCAATGATAAAATTTGAATGAACCTTCTTGCCTTGCATTCCTTGCTCTTTCCGTAGCTTCCCCAACTGAAATTCTTTTATTTTTTCGTTAAAACCTCTCATTCATTTCTATTTTCGTAAATTTTTCCAATTTTATTTATGCCGAACATGTAGGAAAGCCAGAAACAAATAAAAAAATTGACAATTTAAAATTTTCTTATTTTTCTTTTCTTTTCCTTCCAATTTCGCTGGTGCAAAGTTTTGGGCATAAAATTTTTATTTTGGATTGAATCTAATTTCTTGATGCGATGTTTTCTTGTACGATGAAGGAATTTAGTTTGTGGAAATGCTCAAGACGCAAAGAGAAAGTTTTATAAGTAGCAACGACTAAGACGAACCCTCTAAAAGCTCATAAAACTCCAACAACTATCGAGGATCGTTTATATGCACTTATTGCACGATGTCGAGTCAGAAGAGAGAGAAAAACAACAGTAAAAGCTTTTTATGTACACGAAGCAGCATTTTCAACTCCCGAAAGCTTAATTTCGTACATAATATTTTTATTCTGCCAATTCCTACTTTCCCGAATGTTACAATTTTCTATCCAAGCTACAACAAGTAGCACTGCACATTTTCATGCTTTTTTTTTATTCATTCTCATCTTCAGCAAAGCTTTTTCAATGTGCAATGGCAAAACATGAAAACTGTTCCGTTGCTTTTCCTTTTTTCCTTCGGTCTTTTTTCTCGATTTAAGTTTTAATGCCAAAATAGTGTTTTTATAATGCTGCTTCTATTGGAGCCCGATGCATGCTCCACCCCCAAGCACGTGATTTGTATATCACGTGTTGAGTGGCGCTTTTTTTTCGGGATGGCAAAAATCATTGCTTTTTACGTCGAGGAACATGAAATTTATATCGTGTTTGATGAAAGTTGGTTGGCTGTGATGCAGTGCAGTGAAATAATGTGATAATAAAATAATCAGATTGAATGTAAGTGGTTGAGTTTTTCTTATTTCCTTCTAGCTTTTTCATGGTTAGCACCAAGCAGTGGCACTGTTGACGATGTGGCAGGCGCATGATGGATTTCTTTTATGTAAAGCATTTATACATAAAAAAATGTAAATTGAATTTATGTGCATGTTTGCCAACCGTTGCAGTTGCTGCAACCCTCCTACCAATAAGACGATAATTTATATTCAAGAACTTGAAGTTTATAAGCAATTTTGTATAATCATGAACATGAATTAAATTAAAAACAATTTGTAGGTTTCATAATTAGTAAAAATCTTTGCGGTATCGCAAATTGCTTTTCCTGGAATATTTTCCTCAAAAAAATTGATTGATGTTAAAAGTTTGAAAAAAGTTAAAAAGATTAATTAACAAAACATCTTTTGCGGTTGTTCGTTATTCAATTTTATGATGAACTTCAGGAGGCAAATTTTATTAACGAAATTTTTTATTTAATTATTTTATTCTAAGAATTTTTTTTATTAAGATTTCACATTCTTTTGAAGAACATACATTAAAGCATAAGCTTAATTAATATTAAGGCAAATAAGAAATGTAAATGAAAAGTAGACTGTTAAATATTTCCTTTCAGGTTGTTCGATTCATTCTTTACTTTAACTAAGAAGCTTTGAAAAACTGACTTAACTTATCTTTGTGAACATTTTATTCTTTATTCGCTGTTAACAATTTTTTTTACAAAGTTAAATCATTCTGGTCTTGTAACAAAGATTAAAATTTACATCTCTTTTTGACGAGACGGAAAAGAATGTCATGATTTTGTTTTAAGCTTTTAGTAACAATTTCAAAAGTTAAATCCGCCCACAGATAACATCAAAAGTTCTTTTCTGTTAAATATTGCATTGAATTCTTTTATTTCCATCGCATCGTCCGATTTTAGTTTATGCTTTTTATCAAGATTGATTCTCATTTCAAATTTCTCTTCCATTTAAAAAGCCACAAGCCCGAATAAATTCCATTTGAATCCCTTTGAGAATCAATTCCAGATACTTTTTATTACATGAAACAAAAACAATCGAAATACCGGAAGAATTTTAGAAATGGTAGTTTTAAATCAAAGACTAAGCATAGATGCAGCATAGATTTATGTCTTCTGGCAGCGGAAGCATAGACAACATAAATGGAAAATTTAATGATTGACACAGCCGAGGGCAGGTAAAAGGTGAAAATGTAAATATTTTCCATGGAATGTCATAGATGACCCTTCTTCATTCATTTAATTGCTTGTGTAATTTGTGTCGCCTTTTGTGAGATGTGAAATTGCAAAATAACAGCAACAAACATTACAAAGGGGTAGTTATGCAAAAACATTTAAAAATCAATAAAAGTTCATTAATTTTATTTAATCAAACCCATCACGAAAGTCTGTTTTGCATGCAACATTATTTTGAAATTTACTACGTAATTAAATTTTATCGTTACATTGACCATAAAATTGTCGTTTTTCAAAACATATAAATGTCTATTTATATGGAGATATCAGCTCTTCCTTTCAAAAAAGACGCTGGAATTTCCCATGAGCCAAAGCGCAGTATTTCGGGAATTTTTACTTCGATTCTCTCGAGAAGAAAATCTCAAAATTCAACTGAGAGCGAACTCAGTCGACCTTGACATTTCGAGTGTTTCCTGTTAACTGCCGAAGTGCTGACGGATTTTTTTCTTCACATTTCGATTGCATGTGCGAATATTAACTTGCAGCTTTTAGTATTGTAGACGGGGTGGTTTTTGGGTGCTGCGAAAATCACCGAAGCAGGGCGAATGAAACAGACAAACAACGTTTACACGAATGTAATGTTACATGCGCAATGTGCATTTTATGTTGTCGGTGAATGTGTCTGATGATCGTTACATTTACAACTAAATAAATATCCGAACCGTCTGGAGAACGGCATGGCATGAGTGTCTAGGCGATAGCTTTGCCTTTACATATTTTTTGCTTTTGGTTCTGTGTAAGGCTTACTGGCGTCACAGTTTATCAACCTCCCCCACAACGTTATTCATTGAATTTCTTCTTCACATTTTCATGTCGTCTCGCCGAAAAAAAGAAAAAGTAGAATCGCAGTTAACAAGAAACAGCAGAAAACGTTTCGATAAATCTCCCTAATTCTATGTTATGAACACTTTTTTTCAATCATACGCGTGAAATCCTTTGGTGAAATTGCTTTTTTCGATTTTTACCCGAACTCCCACACATCGCAATCCACACTTATGCATGTAAAATTAACTTTTATTACATCCGATTGATATGGCGGGTGGTTGTTTGGTGGGCTAGAAAGGCGTTATAATGCAAGCTGACCTATTAAAATTTTCCACCCGTACAGCAAATTTCACCGAATACAGAGTTAAGTGTTGTCATATATCGTTTGCCTTCAGCGTAATAAACACAACATGTAGCGATATGATTCGAGGCAACACAATTAATATCCAATCTCTATAAATAATGACCACACATTTTGGTGTAAAGTTCAGAAATTATTTGCATATTTTATGGATTATCAATTTGTCAATAACTGCAAGTCATTTCATGGTTGATAAAGATAAAATTGCGTCATTCTTTGACTACTTCATGAATATACTGCGAGTGATACTTTAACAGTTTACAGACACAGAGAAAAAACTTTAATTTACTGTGTGCAGCACATAAATTTAAGGTTTATGAGATAAACAGCAGTAACAGCAGAAGATTTATTGCTTTTCTGTGAGAATCTACTTTAAGAAATAAATTAATTTTACGAAAAAAAGAAAAGTGAATTCAGTTTAGTGTCGAATTTCATCTCATCTTTAAATCGTAAATGATTTTTAGCTTGCTCATCACCACTTCACTTGTTGCCACCAACACTAAGTCAACAGAAGACATTTTTACATTAATTAAAGTAAGAAAATAATCTTCAGCTTTTCCAAGAATTAATTTTAATCAAAAATTTATTGTGCATATTCATTACGATAAGGCTGAAAGCGAGCGGGTGATGACAAGGCGTATGCAATTGCTTGACGATGTATAAAGTCGTTCAGTGAAAGGTTGGAAAAGAAATGAAAATTATGCTTAAGTTATTTAATAAATTAACATTAATTTGTAGCATGAAAACAAACTTTTTCCTGTTAAGTTGAAATAAGTTCAGAAGGAGAGGTTGCTGTAGGATGGATAATTCATTACAAATTAAGCGCATCTTTATTAATGAAGCCGCTTCAGTCTAGAAAAGTTGAAAAGGAAATGGCAAATAATGCCCAGGCTTAATTACAATTACTGGATGAATAGGAGAGAGAAAATTGCGGGCATTTGTCATTTTGAACTTCGATATGAAACTCTGTTTGGTTATTTCCCTCATGGAAGAAATGAAAAAAAAATTGTAAATGTAAAATTTTCTCGTTATCTCGTGTGAGCAAGTGGAAATGTAATTATTTATTATTATCCATTACACGTTTTTGTTGTTTCAATCTGTTGGCAGACGCCAACTAAACTAGTGTAATGTCAAGTTTTCTATTTGCAAGCATCTGTCGCTTGAGGCTTCTTGATACCGTCAGTGATTACTGGATGTTCATACTTTACTAAACGCTTTCCTAATGTTTATACCTTCCAATCCATTTAATAATCCGATATATTACAGCAATTTAAACTTGTTCTCTCCAATATCTCTCTGATTACACAAGCAATGCTTCCTATTTCTAAACATTTTCTTTTCCAACTCGAAGTTACCAATAAAAATCTGTTACGAAAACGAAGTGAAGATGAGAATTGATATCATGTCTTCGAGCAAAGATACTTCTATCGCTAACCTTTCTCGCCATTAAAGCTTTATTATCCTTATTTCTTTACTAAACTTGAGATGTTTGAAGAAATTGAGAAGGGAAGTTGAGATTTTCATCACAGAAATAAAATTTTTCTGGAATGTTTGGAAAAGTAAGCAGTTGAAATGCGTTTGAGTATTCATAACTCATTCCACACATCTCCCGACTATTTACATCAACAAAGTTCGTAAAATTTTACCCCAAAGCATTCAAAAATGTGAAATTTACTTCTCCCCTTTTTTCACATCACACTTCAAATCTTTCACTCCCACAAACAATAAAAGTTCTTAAATGTTTTTCATATTTTCTAACATTACTCCAATACAAAACATGGTTCCCAACAAATGAAATTCATTCGCATGAATTAATTTGAATATCATAGATATTTATTTTAATTTTTTAGCTATGAATTTTTCTCAACACTTCATTCAATTTGAGCTTCAGATTTCCTTTTAAGCATTTGTCGAAGTGTTGAATAAGCATAAGTTCTCTTTGTGCCTTTGTTGTTCTACCAGCTTTTCGAATTGAAAACTTTTCGCTTCTTTATTCATTTTGTCGTGCTTTTTTTGTTTCTTTATAAGTGTAGCTACTTGAGCAGCTGAAAACAGAAAATACATTTTCCTGTTAATTCATTCATAAAATTAGCTTGCAAATTTATGTCATCGTCTTGCGCTTAAAGTAAAATTTAAGAGAAGAATAAATATTTTAAGATGAAAATCTACAACAATTTCTATAAATGAAATGAAACCAAATCTCGACATTATTACAGATTGCACTCGTGGGAAATGTAATTTTACTAGAGAGCTCCTCAAATAGCTCCCCGATGCTTATAATGTATTTTATTTTTCATTTTGCTGTTCATTGTACCTTGTCTCCGCAAAAAGCCTCCCTCATTCCCCCAGAAATTATCGATTTTTACTTTTACATGACGCTTTGTGAATGCCTTGGTGCATCCGTTTACAGTCTCTCCTATACATTTACAAAATTACAAGGGTGAATCTCCTCTGAGAAGTGTGGGGGATTCAATACTGTAATGTTACATAACGGATAAAAAAATAGATTGGTGTTGAGGAAGGAAATGCGGCATTTTGATGCATTGCTGATGCAATGTAACATATGTACTTTAATATATAAAAGTTATTCCCTGCCTACCTTTCAAACTACCTAGTCTCGGGAACGCTGAATCATTTATTTCCGCATACAGCATTATTCGGTTTCGTATCATGAAGTTACTGAGATATTCTCAAATGGTAATAGTAAAATTGTATGTAAGTGTGCAGACAGTAAATGGAAAATTGTTGTAACTTTTACATCAAGCAACATAAAATTTTTGAATTTCGCGGTCTTTTGAATAGGAATGAGTCGTGACTATTGTAAGGTTTTATGACAAGGGTAGTGCGCAGTGATTGTCTCCTTTTGTAACATATTAAAAAATTAAATATTGAATGAATTTCGATTACATTTCCTACGAAAATATCTAAGTATAACTTTCCTGAATAAAAATTTGTTGAAATTATTCAAATCTCCTTGTTTCCTCATAAAATTTATTATAAAAATGTTGTTTTGTGCTTCAACTGATTGACGAACCCCAATACGTAAACATTCAAACTTTTTTTGCTGTAGAAAATAAATAGTCAAATTTAATTAAAAAGCTTTTGAGTTATTGATTTTCAAGTAACACACTGTTAAAGTATTAACGAACTCATTAACTTTTATTTTGAAGTGCTAGGAAAACACAAAGGCAAGTAAAACTTTGTAAATTACTCTGTAAACCATAAATTTCATCTGAAACTTGGAGAATTAAAATAATGTCAAGTCATCGAAGAGAACTTTAACAAACCAACATTCGCTGAATTCATTTGTTATGGCAAAATTGCTTAAGCTGAAAATGAATTCGCTTTTTTGTAATGTTACACAATTCCTTAAATAAATTACTTTTTATTTTCTTTAACTTATTCATCATATAACTTAATATTTAATGTCTTCTCTAGATATAGAAATTAAAGTTTTAATACATAACCTTCTATATAAAAATCACAGATATGTTTAACTATGATACGATGTTACGAAGTTTTCAAAAGTAAAAAGCGAAATTAAACTTCGAAAGCTTTGAATTTATTAACTTTTCTCATCATCTCTAGCAAAGTAACATCAAAGACTGAAAATTTCATTTCTCGTCTATTTACTTTCAACTTCAAACTTGCAAGTACAAAGAATAACATTTTGATTTCATCTTTATTGCTTTTTTCCTTTCATAACTCCATTTTGTGCTAAATATGAAAACGTAGATAAAAAAGAGCGTAAAACACGAGGCGGAAGTTCTCATTGATTTTTTCAACCAATTTTAAATAGCTTAAAGGTTTTAATAATTTTAATCAAATATTTATGTTCCCGCATAAATTCTGACTGATTTACAGATGCAAAAACTTATTGAGAAAAATTAAATTATTACAGAAAAGGAAACAATGACAGATTATTTCGATGAATTGAACTGTCAACCAGTTGAAGAGGAGAATACGGGAACACATCAACTCATGCTTATGCTCAGATACTTAAGACAAAGCGGGTTTGATGCATTATTGAACATGAATATGAACGACGATCGCTTACCTCCAGCAGCTTCAAAAGAACTCGTAAAGAATCTTGAGTCACGGCATGTGACAGAAGACGATGAAAAATGTGCCATTTGTTTGCTACCCAACGAGAACTTGAATGGACAAAAATTTCTGAAACTGCCTTGCAACCATGAATTTCATGACTCTTGCATTTTACCTTGGCTTGAAAGAACAAACTCGTGTCCGATGTGTCGACAAGAAATGAAAACTGATGATGAAGACTACGAAGAACAAAAGAAACGGAAACAAAGACAACAACAGCGAGACGAAGAGGTTGAAATGCTTCATAATTCTATGTACGGTTAGATTTTAATGCACTTATTAATGTGATTGTTTTGAATAAATTTTATTTCATTTAATGGTTATCGGAACAAAATCATGTCAAGTTCATTTCATAAGTTTTATTATATGCTTTCAGGTCAAAATTAATGTTGAGTAATTCCAATTAGTTTGTCACTTGTCATGTTCAATTCATGACAATGAAAGTTTTTTTTGTACGTTAAATTAAGTTAACAAAAAACAATTTTTGCTTTTCGCTGTTTCAATAGATTCAGCCTGATCAAAAGTATCTGTTTGTGTTTCCATACGGATAGAAACCATTTTGAGAGTAAGGATAGCGACCGGTATTTGAAGTGTTCAAACCGAATGCGTTCTGTCCGTATGGCACATTACCACCATTGTAACCGTTGTTGTAACCGTAGCCAAATGCTCCATAGCACCTTTCTTTCAATTAAAATTTATTTTATTTATCACTCTTCACAACAAAGATCAAATAATTATTTACTCATTCGAATGCCCAAAGCATCATCTTCTCCTGTCGGTAACGGTGCCGAAACCTAGAAAATTTCTCTTCGAAATTAAATCTTTTCAGGAATAGAAATGTTAATTAATTTTCTTTAACATACACAAAAGCAAACAGCATAAAATAAAATAAAAACTTTCAGAAACGATTTCATTTTTATTGGAGTGTTGGATTTAAACTGATAGGAGTTTGTCTCTGCCAAGTTGATTTAATGCGGAATGTAATGAGGGTCCAATTAGCCTTGCTCAATGTTTTTCACGGCGTTTTTATTTGCTTCATTATATTCTAGGGTTCCACTTGTATTTACACAAAATAATGATGGCGATAGTTGATAAAAAAAGTGAACAAGCTTCTCTCTTCCTCTATCATTTGTTACGTCATTCATGACCAAGAATTGAGTGTTGGTAGCCTGGCAAATAGTTATTAAGCTTATTTAATCTATAGCCTTCAGAGTATCATAATCAACAGTGACAAGGCCGAAGTAACAAATCTTGATTTTTCGAAATGAGTTTTCCAAAAAAAGTAATTTTCATAGCGACGATTGTGTAATTGTTGTCAACATTCATCAAATATATAAATAAAAATAGATGGTGATATTTAATGCGAAGTAACGGATACTTTATTGCTTTAATGGCATGACAAATAATTATCAATAACTATAAAAAAGCTGTAAAAAAATTAGTGTGGGTGGAGGTTTACAAGAAGGAAAGAAATCGAAAATAATTTTTAATATTGTAAGATTAAAATGATTTCTCGTTCTTTGGGCTACTGTTGTCAGTTGAATCAGTGATTGTTCGAAGAAATTTAATGCATCAATAAATCTTTATAAATTTTCCTTTTTTGACAAATGAATTTGACAATAAACATTTATTTATGACGAAGATCGTAAAATGCCTTCAATACAAATTTAAATCACAAATTAACATAAATCTAAATTCACTTTTGTGCAATTTTACTAACTAAAGCGTAAAGTGAGTATGTTGTATTACAAATTGTGGTTAATGTTTCAATGTCAACAAAGACGAATCCAAATGCTGAAATTTTGATTGATCGTTTTGTGTTTTCCATGAAAATTGTTACAGCTTTCTTGTACTTTTGGTCTCCATCGACCCATTTTGAGTGGAACAAAGTTGTTGATATTTTATCAGAAGTTAAAGTCACTTCGTTTCCATAGTAGCAAGGTAGGAATATTTGAATCAACATTGTGAGACAATAAAACGTAGTTCTGATAAACGTTGGCGCTTCATTCACAAAAGAAAGCTAAAAATATTACAAAAAGAAATCAATAAATCTTCAAAATGATCAAATAATATTTACTGTAGTTAATAAAAATGTCGATGTACAAAGTATCAGAGCACTTAATATCGCTTGAATGAAGAAGGTCGTAGACAGATGAGTCGATATTTTCGATCCAAGATCCTTGAGTTGCACAAAACAATCAACACATTTGCATAGTCTGTCATACTCTTTCGTGTCATTAAATGACATTTTGTCAGGTTCAAGACTCTCAATTTCAACCGAAAATTCCTTCAACATCACATTCAAGTAATGCATGAATGCAATTTGAATCATGTCGATGCTGAAATTGAGCAAGCTTAGAATCGGCGCTCCCACACATTGAATTATTACTGTAAACCAGTACGAGGGTAAATTATTTTTGTAATCCCAATAAACCCAAGTCTTGAATGGAAGCTCCCTTCGTTTCATGTCAAAACTTAATGCTTTAATTACAGTAACGAGACATGTAAAAATCGGTAAACCAAAAAATAATTTCTCAATTCTCATCATGCGCTTATTTTCACGTATCATCAAATTTCTTTCATTCATCTTTCCAAATGAATTGACTTTCAAAAGTTCTTCTAAATGTTGAAACAAATTCTTAATTTTTTTCAGTCGAATTAAGAACCAAATGACTTTGATAAAAATTGAATAAACCGTAAACATAATACTTAAAGCTTCACAAATTTCCTTCATGTCTCCAGTTAGTAATGTGTCTAGGAAAAACATTGAATGGCAAATGACAATGTAACCCAGAAAGAAAAGATGAAACGCAACGCCGTACAAGCGATAAATCCACGACGATGATTTTTCTTGCCATAAACCGAAAACTTTCAAGACGAAAAATGGAAACTTGAAGCACTTCAAGTAGTTTTCAGAGCTCATAATTTTTACTAGAATTAAACTTTCTTCTATGAACATCTACTGAGAACTAACTTGATTCGAAAAGAGTTTAAGGAAAGTCTTCTTCAATTTTGGAATGTTGACGAGCAAGTTCATGTCTAATTACAATTAATTTATGTTCAGTTCAAGCTTACTAAATGTTAGCTTTGACAATTTAGTTTACATATATGTTTTAATTCGAACAGTTCTGTTGATTTATAAATGAAATTTGAAATGGATTTAAACGAGGGATATCAAACTAATTATTAATGACGATTTATGAACATTTATTTTGTGTTGACTTTGCTAAGCAAATCATAAAGTGAATACGTATGGAATGACGTTGTTAAAGTTTCAAAGTCAACGAAGACGAATCGAAATTTGGATTGATCGTTTTGCTTGTTCCATGAAAATAGTTACAGTTGTCTTTTACTTTTCACTTTCATTTAACCATTTCCATACTTAGTAGCAAAGTAGGAATGTTTGAATCATCATTGAGATGCTGTAGATGATTATCCTTATAAACATTGTTGATTCATCCGATAAAAAAGCTATGAGATAATGAAAATCAATCAAAATTAAAATAAAATAGAGAATAGAACTTAGAACAGCTTGAATGAAGAAAATCACTGACCGATGAGTTGATACTTCTAATCTAAGATCCTTCAGTTGCAATCAGTTTCAACAGAAAGTTCCTACAACGTCGCACTCAAGTAATGCATGAAGGTAATTTGAATCATATCGAGAGTGAAGTTTACTTAGCAAACATGAAATGTCTTGAAACATTGTTGAACAACAACCGACCAATAAAGGGTTGGTTCGTTTCGATACATTGAAAAATATCCAAGTTTCATAAGGAATATTTCCAATCATCGAATCATAAATTATCGCTTTTAATAGCACAAACAGAGCCAACGCAATTGATGAACTATAAAATATTTTCTCAACTTTCATCATTCGATTGTTTTCATGGTGCATCAATTTTTCTAGTTTTTTTTTCCAAATGAAGAGAGTTTTAGAAGTCCTTCCAAAGATTTTATCATGCTTCTAATATTTTTCTGTTTGATTATAATTCACATATTTTCGAAAAACAAACCATAAATCGTAAGTTAATATCCCAAAGTAATCGAAATGTCCTCTATTGATCTACTCCCAATAGATTGAACCAAATTTCCCAATAATGCGACCACAATGCAATTCAAATAGAAATAACGAATTAGAATTACACAAAACCAACGAACTTTGGCCCACGGCTCTCCTTTCCAAAATCCAAAAGCTTTTAAAATGATTATCGGTAATTTGAAACAATTTAAGAAATTTTCAGATTTTATTTTAAATCAGCATTAAATAATTTTATAATTTAGTTTTATAAAAGTTTAGGGAAAAACTTAAAACTTTAATTTTGTTCTTATTTTTTAATAACATTCAATAAATTTATTATCAATTAATGATAACAATTAATAAAAGTTGAAATTTCATTTCTGGTTAATTTTATTCATCAAAGCGTAAAGTGAGTAAGCTGCGTTCATTATTGTTGTGTAAGTCTCAAAATCAATATTAACAATCTTAAAACTTCGAACTTTTATTGTTCGTTTTGTGTTTTCTAAAAATATTTTTAAAGAATTTTTGTACTTCTGACTTGAACTAACCCAATCAGAATGAAAAAGAGTTGAAAGAATTTTATCCGATGCAACTGATAATTCATTTCCATAGTAGCATGGCAAAAATATCTGAAATGTCATTAAACATCCAAAGACAGCAGTTCTGAAGAAATCTGATGTTTCATGTTTCTGCGAGAGCTTAAATAAATAAATTAACATAGATTAATGCTTCAGAAATTTAATTGATCTTACCACTGTCATCAAAAAAACTGAACCACAAATCACGATCGAGCTGATGAAAGTTTGAACGAAGAAAACAAATGAAATATGCTTCGAGATGTCTTCAACTATTTTCTTGATTTTCAAATGATATTCCATTGCGATTTCAAGTTTCTTCAACGCGTGATAATCTTGAGAGTTCTTGAAGAAAACTTTTTGTCTTAGAATTTTCTTAATTGGATTATGTTTCCATAATTTAATTTCCACAATGAGGTCATCAATCAATGCTGTTGTTGTGTTCATGAAAAGTATCAGGATTGATTCAGTACTGCAAGCAATGACGACTATGTAGGCAAGAAATAAATGTTGATAAATGAAAATCGTCCAATAATGTATAATTGAAGCTTTGTAGTCAAAAAACCACCAAGTTTCGAACATGATTTCCTTCTCATTGTATTTGATTAAGGCATTTAAAGTTCCCATTAATCCTGTTACAAATGCCGCACTGAAGTAGATTTTAACGACCTTAACCACTCGATCAATGCGAAGATGCTTCAAACATTTCTTCTCTCCTTCGTTAAATTTATGAACTTTTGTAATTATTTTTAAATCATTCAACATTTCCTTGATCTTCTGAAAATTCTTCAGCAACCAGAAAGACTTTAAAACTGATCCATAGAATGTGAACAAAAGATTTGTTACGTAAGAAATTTCTTGAATTGTTCCACTTTGAATAGTTTCAATGAAAAATATTGTGTAGCAAAATGTTGCGCTTCCCATGATGATTAAATGCAACACAAGGCTAATGAAGCTCAAAAACATCGAATTATTCTCTACATAGAATCCAATACACTTCAAGAAGAATAAAGGAATATTGAAGCTGTAATACCAATTAATCTCTTTGTTTTCCATTACTAAAATTACATTCTGTCTATTCAACACAAGTAATCTGACTAAAGTAAAGTGTTTGACAAAGAGTTCTTTCAAAAAGTTGAGTTTTATTCGATATTCATACAACAGAAATCCTTTTAAACTTCCAGAAAGTCAATATTGGATGTAAGCTCATGTCTATTGTTAATAAATCAAACACAAGATTAAATTGGGAAATTTTCATTTACATTGAGAAAGAAAAACTTTATTTGACATTGACTTTCTGAAAAACAGCGTAGAGTGAGTAAGCATAATTACAAATCTTTGTAAATGTTCCAAAGTCTATTGTTATGAAATTATTAAACCTGATTTTGATCGAATGTTTCAAGTTTTCCATGATTATTTCAACACTTTTCCGATACTTTTTGGATCTTCCTTCCCAATTTGAATGAAACAATGACGTTGATATTTTATCCGATGTAGCTGATACTTCGTTTCCATAATAACAGGGAAGAAATATTTGAAACAGCATCGAACAGCCATAAAGAAAAGTTCTCATAAATTCTGATGTGTTATTAATCGGTGATGTCTGTAAAGAAATTTTCTGTTATTTTGTTAAATTTATCATGTTAATGACGTCACCGTTGTTATAAGAAATGTGCAAGCACACAAGATGAACGAACTTATGAAAGTTTGAATGAAGAAAACAAATGTAGTGTGAGTCGAAATGTCATCGGTGAATTGTTTAATTTTTTTGTGATATTCAACGAGGTTTTTGATCTCTTTAATATCTTTCACTTCATTTTCCTTCACATTGTTTTTAACACTTATTTTGTCTGACAAATTATTCAACATCATCGACGCAAAGTTCATGAACAGAACCGGAATAATATCGATGCTGTAATTAACTAAACATCCATAGAGAATCAACAATATTTGATAACAGAGAAAAGGCCAATAGACGTAGTTGTCATTGCTTTTGTAGTCCCAAAACCACCAAGTCTCGTATATCACTTCCTTTCTCTTGTAATGAATAACAGAATTTAAAGAAGCCATTAATACCGCCCACAATGCTGAACCATAATAAAATTTAACAACTTTCATAATATTTCCATAGGAGGAAAAATTATTTAAGAAAGTTTTACGTGGTTGATGAGTCTTATGATCAGTTGAAATAACTTCCAGCATCTCCTTAATACTTTCTAACTTTATAACGAACCAGAATGTCTTGAAAAGTGTTCCATATAATGAAAATAAAATGTTAATGGCGTGAGAAATATCGGCGATTGTACCATTTTTAACAATGTAAAAGAAAAATTTTGTATGACAAACCAAAGGAAGTCCCAAAAAGATCAAATAAAGAATAAAGCCGTAAGATCGGTAAATTTTCCATGATGATTTTGACTGCCATAAACCAAGATTCTTTAAAAAGAAAAATGGTAAATTAAAGACTGAACTGTAATTGAGTTCCATAACTGAATTTTGAATCTTTAATAATCAAATCACTGAAACTGACTGACTCATTCATTTTAAAACAATCAAAGATTTCTTCTTCAGTATTGTCAAAATAAACATGTTTCATATTTAATTACATTTTGTTTTCATTACATCAACAACAATTGAAAGATTAATTATTAATGAAAACAAATAAGCAGTAACTTTTTATTTTACAATTGAAAAATTTCTTATTCATCTAAAGTTTGTAATGTTTTTTGGTAAATTTCTTCACTTCAACAACTTCGAAAAGTATTTCATGAAAGCAATGATAATAAAGTCAATGTGATGTAGCTGAAAGAGCTTAAAAGCAAAGGAAAAATATATTGATAGATGCAAATGCCCCAATAAAACATTTCGTTATTCTTGTAGTCAAATCCATGCCATCCAATCTCTTCTATAATGTGCAAGTGCAATCAATTCAGATGCACTACATGCAAAATAAATTGAGAGATAAAATATTTTTGATACTGAGATAATTTGAATGTTTCGATTGTGTAAACAATTTTCCCTGGTCGATGTATTGAAGTTTGTAAGATCAGAGCTTAAGCTTCAACTTAATCATCAAAGTGTCAATTTATGAATGTACCGACAACATTGTAGTGGACCTTAAATAAGGTCGTTAATATTTCTCGAGAATCATTCATGTAAATTGTGTGAGAAGTTAACTTGCAATCTTTATCAACCACATCAAGTGATCTCCATATTAAATTTTTATAAACAAACTAGATATGCAGGAAATAAAAACTTTTAATAAAAAGATTCACGATTACATAAAACTTTTATTTAATAAAAGTTTGACGTTAATATTTATGAAGTTAATGAGCTAAATTATTCTTATTTTTAATTTATCGTCATAATTGCCTAACTTTTAGGCGCATTAAATTTAATTATTTTCTTTAAATTATCCAACGCATTGAAGTAATAAAAGTTGTTGCTGCTTTTTAATGATGAACTGTTTTGTAATAAATCTTTCAACTTCATGTCATCTGAATGAAATATATAAGTTGTTAATTTGACACGATTAAATGCAATTCACTTCTGTTTACAACTTATTTTACTGAAACTTTTTTATGATTTTGTACCTCATTAACGCTGCATCAAATTATTAATTAACTGACTTCAATTATCTATTTGAATATCTAAAATCTTTAAACTTCAAATCTCAACTCATCATCTATTTCACAGGAAACATAAAATAAGTAAACAAATGTCATTGAGTAAAAGAGTCATCGCTGGTATTAAACATAACTCAGCATAAGACAAGAATCAATGCATTTTTGCAAGTACATTGCACAATTCATTGACCGGTTGAATGTTAAACAGAGAGGCTGTGGACGGTTGAGAAGAAAAGTAGAAAAAAAGTCGAATAGACTGTGTAATATATGTAAGTATGAAGAGAAGTTGAATGCAGTTAACAGCGAGCACGATCTGTTGACTATCCCTACCACATCCACCTAAGCCTTTTCTTCTCTCGCTTCGTTGTTGCACGTTTTTATTTCATTTTTTTTTCTATGAGTCAATTGCCTCTCAGTTGCTTTGAGTACCTTTACATCGCTAGACGTTTTATATTCGCGTCGCGTGTTCTTTTCCATATTTTCTTTCTTCTTACAATCAAGTAGATACAAGAGTAGATACTTGAATCAAATGCAGTTTTCAGACATAAGTAGTTAAAAGAAAATAAGCAAGAAAGGAATCAAAAATATCAACAACGTTGAGAAAAGTAAAAAGTGTCTTACTCGACATGAAAAGCATAAAATTTTTACAATTTCTCAAAAACTAACAGCATTTTTAATAATAAGATTCAACATAGAAAAGAGAAGTGTTCAGTAGATTGAAGCAGAGAGAAGCAAAAGAAAGAAAGAAAGAAAGAAAGGAAAAGTGAAATAAAGCAGTGACATAACTTACTTGTAATCAAAAGAAGATGCTGATTCGCTCATCATTGGTGGTTTTTGTGGTCATACTCGGTTATTTATATGTGACAGGTTCGTAATGTAATGTGCGATGTCATGGAAATGGAATAAATTATGGAAAATTGAAATCCCAAACCAGAAGAAGACGACGTTAAGCGTCTTATGATTTGACACGCTTGTTATTCACTCCAAATTGCTTTTTTATTCGTTACATAATTTAATTCCCACTTATAATGGAGATGTAAATTATATTTTCAAAGATGCCAATGTTGCAAATTATTAACAATGATAAACAATGTAAGAAGAAAATCGTTTCTCAGTCAACAATCAAATGTGTGGGTGAATTGAGAGCAGCACTCATTAGTGAATGACGTGACTCGTTCAAAATGATTTAATTATTACCTCATTGACTTTGTTTTTTCCTTTTTTTTCTTTCAACTCTTCACACTTCCTAATGGGAAGCTCAAGATTGTGCTTCAATCAAAAACTTATTCATTTCCGAAAGTTTTAATCGACATTTTAAAAATCAATACAAAATCACATGCAAATGTTGATGGAATTTTAAAGAGAAATATTCACGAGACTTTGGCAAGGTTTCCTTGACTCTTAATTCATAATTTCGATTCAATTAAGTATCCCTGTGTTGGCATGTCTTATGTAAATTATGCACAGATATTCAAGGAAAGTTTCAATTTCTTTTCTCGCTTCCAAAAGATCGTTTTCTTTCAATTTCCTCAATAAGTATTCAAGTATTAATGTTAACAAATGATAAAGTGAACTAGTTTACCTTTAATTAATCACGACTTTTGTATTTTCATATGATTTAATTGTGACTAACACATGAATGCCTAGGGAACATAAATCACACAACTAAAGCTTTTATGCTACATGATGGTCAGAAAAATATTATAAAACTCAATAAATTGCATTAGAATGATCGTTTTCATTTCAATTCCCTTCTGTTACTCGCTGTTTAGCGCACAAAATCTTTCATTCTGTTAAAGTTCAAAGTAATAAACAGACACTGCCATTGTCGTTCAGTTAGATTCAAAAAGAAATAAAATAAAAAGCTCAACGCTTCGAGAAAAGAAAGATACAAAAATTGAAAAATTCGAATTGACTTCGTGCAAAGGAGTAATCGGTTAACACCCTTTTCTTTCTTTACAAAAATGTCCCAAGTACTATGAGCGAGTTGCAACATCATAATAGATCGTAATCGCAAGAGAAGTTGGATATATCGAAGCAACAGCGGCAGCAACAAGAGCAAAGTTATAAATGAATGAACATAATTAATAATCAAAAAGAATCAAAAATTCGTGCTTGCCAAATATAAAGCTGAACAGCTTTAAATCAAAATGATTTTGCAATGATTCGAGCGACAAAAGAATATTCAGAATTGAGAACTACATCAAGCATTGCCAATGTTGTCGCGTAATTTACAATCTTCTGAGCGTAAAGGCGACGACGAAACATGTATCGAGCTAATAACTATGTCACATGTGACGTCTAAACTGATTTTTTTTTGCATTCCATACGCTTGTTAACATATTACAAAGCTTATTTAATAAGAAACTTTGCATTGTGTTGACCCCGCGAATTCATATGACGACCGTTCATCCATCTAGAGATAAATATTTAACATGAAAGACATCAGAGAAGTAAAACTTTTAATAATAAATGTGAATATTGGCATAGTTTTGTTTATGTCGATAGCTTCGTTTCATCAAGCAGCATCTCGACTCAACTCTTCTCGTTAACCGTCAGAGGCCTTTCAAAACACTGTTTACTGTTTTAAATCAACACATCTTATTTTCTGAAAGCGATCAAAAAGAGAGAATATTGCATAACATTGATTGTAAGTAAGACGAAGACGAAGTTGATGCTGATGCCTTTAAAAGGTGCTTAATTATAATTTGGAATCAGATGGAATTGTTTACGTGGCTCATATGAAGACGAGACATGATTGCACATTAAATTGCCATTGAAATGACATAATAAAGCCTCTCTCCTGATAAATATTTTTTAATTAAAACATCAATGTTGTGTAATGTTATTTACTATTTTGACCACCAAATTCAACTCCACCTGGACGAGCAATACATGCTTTGCTTACTTAAATTTAAAGCCAAGACAGAAGGAGTAACACGGCGCACTTAGCGCACTCCTCAAAATATTTTCAATGTCAAAAAATCATTGAAATGAAATCTTGTGAAGAATTTTGAGTGTAAATAAGTGAAGTATCATATTTTGGGGTTTGAATTCCATTGAACAACTGAAATTACTCTCAAATTACAATGCGCTTTATGTCTCATACAATGTTGGAGATTGCGTTGATGTTGAACGCGGCAACCTCTAATTTATTTTTTGGGTGAAACAATGGAATGAAATAAAAGTTAAGCCCGCTAATTTGTCATATTTTTTCATTCATATTTTACTTTCTGTTCTCCCAACAATCACACGCAGCTCAGCACAGCTCGCACCACTTAACTTTAAATTTTGCAACAGATCAATTAGCACTTGAGAGAGGCTGCGACTGCAAAAACACAATTTTTTTAATCTTTTTTTTCCTACAGGCAACTTCTATACTGTTGACTGACCCTTTCCTATCTCAAATCAAGTTTATGTAACTGCGCATAACTCAGTAAATAAGTATGAAAAGCGATGTTCATGTTGAAGTGTAAATCATTTCCGACACTCAACTGAGTTACTTATTTTTATGTGTGGGCTTAGCAAGAACCGTCCGTGATCACGCTTTAAATTGAATTTTCATTAACACCTGAAAAATCTCTTCAAAAGCTGTCCCATTTAATCTCATTTCATGAACAATTTGTTGTTGAACAACATAAGCAAACATCCGAATAAATATTAATTGAACACAATATGAAGCACACACGTCGTTTACGTTTTTCATTCCATAATTGATCAAAATATTGATTTAACAATATTTGCATTTCAATATTCATGAAGCTTTTTGTCTTTTGTCCAACCCACCTGCACTCATAACAAAGCGTCATGTTATTAAAATAAAATAAATTATGTAATTGCATGTGATTGTAAAAATTCTGCGTCGCTCTCTTCTGTCATCATGTTCTGATGATTGTTCGGATGCGCAGCAATACACCAGATAATGATGGAGATAAAGAATAAAATTTATTCCAAAAATACGATGCAAAATATGCAAAGCAATATTAATGATTAATTTTATAATTTCGATAACGCTCGAAGCCGCTTTGTATGCTCTTTTACATAATTTATTTTGCGTTTATTGCCAACAAACGTGTTTTCTTTCACGATGAATTTCAATTACAATTTATATTTGTCTTGTCGGGATGTCATGCAGCGAAGCATTTGACGGTTCAACGCGCGATCTTAGATTGAATTTGATGCTAATTTAAAGCGATTTAAGTTTAATAATTACGATATTAATTCGACTCATTTGATCTTCTTTCTAGCAACTTAAAAATGATTAAATTGAAGTAAACCACGAAGTTCACGAGAAAAACTGAGATTCATGTTTCTTCATTACTGCTTCTCCTCAGATATATTTGTGCTCGTAATTGGAACAAATGAAACATTAGGTGGTGGAGAAGGCTATTGAAAGTGTGTTGTATGAGTCATTAGTGAATATATCATTTTGAAATAAGAAATAATTTTTTGACGGTTTCAACAAATACGAAGTAGCAACAATTTATCATAAAGTAAAGACAGACGCAATTGCCAACAAAGCTCATCAATCATTGAAAAAATTGTTGACTTCCTTGTGTCTTGCGTCCAAAAGTGAATGAAAACAGGCAGCGAAGATCAAAAAGATCATTCAAAATCTCGACCAACCACTTTATAAATAACAATTGATCGTGCGAAGTCAGCGAAAGTGTTGGAAGATAACAAGCAAATGTGATTTATTAAATAACTTCAACTCAACGCGGTTGCTATAGAATTCCCATAACATTTAATCTTGATAAATGTTCGGTTAAGATTTTTATTAATAATGAGAACATTTTTTAAGGAGCGGAAACATTTGTAAATGATGCTTGCAATCTCGACACTTTGAATCTTTATTATTTATGAATTCACTTTCGATTTCATTTGAGAAATATTTTAACAAACGTTTAGTAAGTCGAAACTGTTACTAACTTAATTGCTTTGAACAAGATTTGAAAGTAAATTTTAAAAGTTTCAGAAAGCAAACTGTGAGGCTTGCAATAAATTTTCAGAGGTTTCAGATTAGAAAGATTTCTGGAGATTGTTTAGATCAAAGCAACGTGAAATCTCGAACTTAAATCTTAAGTTTTCAATGATTTTTAAAACAATTCTAATTCAAAATTGAATCGACTGCAATATAAAGCAAGAGTTGATCACAATCAATCCTCAACCTCTGCTTGTGTTACATGGCAAACTTTTTTTTCTGTTGAATTCCCAGTCGTCAAATCTTCCAAAATTGCGTGAGAAAATCTTTGTGTCTGGTCGAATTTTAACAAAAAACTAATTTTTTTCCGCGTCAATCATCCCAAAAGGAAGAAGAAAAAGAAATAGGAAAAAAATAAAAATAATTAAAAAGCAATCAAAAGTTTTAATTACGCGCGTCTCTAAAATAAAATTGCGACCCTATATGAGTCAAATAAATATTCTGTTAATGGAAATAGCGTGTAATTTCAGCAGACAAATCGTTATGAACGCGACACAATTATGAACGCAACGTAAATTTAATTCTTCCATTGCTGAATGTTGTTCTTCGAGTACGCCAAGCTCAGCAAGAAAATCAAAACTCGGTAAAAGGTTTTTTCATATTCTAGCCACCTTAATAATGTACAAGTAGAGTAATAAAGGCAAGGAAAGAAAAATCATTGAATGAAATAGCATTTGAAGTGAAATAAATGAGCCAATCCTAATTTAATTTGAATGCTGCGCTAAAAAACTGAACACCAAAGTCAATTGAGCAAAGCAAAGTCAGTAATGTTATACTTTTTGATGGTTCATTATTATTTTTTCTTTCCAAAGCGACGGGAGATTTTCACATGATTCGATTTCAATCTTTTTTATGGAACGAAGCCTTGAAATGCATCTTGTAACTGAGATGATGGCATTAGCAACTTTATACAAAAAGCATCTAGAATTTCAATTCTTGCTCATGTGTCAAAGTTATGCTTTTCACAATCGAATAACATTCGATGTTCTATTTCAATTCTATTTACATTTCTCGACTTTTGAATCACACAAAAGGGTAATTCAAGTAACTGTGGGAGAACATTTTGATGCATTGAAATGGAAATTATTCCCCATCTCCATATCTTTTGATGATGTCAACAAAACGTTGTAAAATCGACGTGCTTAGAATCTTTAAAAAGCTTTGGAAAATCGAGATCTCCAACAGTAGATGCAGGACTAATATTCAGTTAATTATATTTCCCAGTAGAATGTAAAGAAAATATCATTCAAGAAGGCAAATTTCCTACTTTTGTCATTTCAAATTGAATGTTAAAATTTTATGACCAATTCTTGAATCAATTAAAAGAAAAATAAAATATCAAGCAATTATTTACATGTCGTTGTGACATAATTTATAATCTACCCTCAAGCATATATTCTTGCTTGTAAAGCCCTCATTCTCAGTTTATTTATGTACATAAAATGTATGCTTTCAAACACCATGAAAGCAGCATAAGGTCGATGTAAACATTCTGCCGTTCGATTTTCGTTTCATCAGCCAATTAAACTTTCGCATTTTCCTTCAACAAACGCCTCGTGGGCTTGTTTGAACTGCATAACATGTTACAATTCTAATTTATCACACAAAGCAAGAAAGGGCGATAAAAAAATCAGACAACAACTTATGATTCGCATGCAATTATCAATGACGAGACTGCAGTTCAACTTGGAGAAATATTCACGAGCAACATTCAAGTCTGATGTTAATTAAAAGTTTTGAATAATAATGGAGAAATATTTCAGTGAATGGAATGATTGCGAAAGTCAAGGCAGAGTTAAGAAGAAGATAAACAATAATTATAAGTCATAAAAAGTTCTTTTAAGATTCTATGTAGTCGAATTTTTAAATTTAAAACGCAAACAGATCTTCCATCTTTCAGCACAAAGCGATATTTGAACGTCTTCGTCTATGTTTAGTGCAGTTGAGTTGAGTAAACACGTACGAAATTAAAAACATTTCTATATGCGTCTTCAAGAGCGCAACTACATCTGCAATAATTCGCAACATCAGAACATACACGATCCAAAGCTCATTACGAAAGAAAAGATTTTTCACTTTTTCAGATTTCCATCACTCAACAAAATTAATTGCAAATGTATGAACTGAAATGTTATTCTTCGGAATTTTAATTATACTTATTAATATTTATTTAAATACTCTTCAACCTTTTACAACATGTGAATAATCTTCGTGTGACAGGTTTGATGGAATAATTATGCATGAGTTTAATAATTTAACTTCGATGATGTGCATAAAGGTTTCATTTTCTTTAAATTTGCTGCATATTTATATGTTGATGATGAAAAATATCTAAATATCTGAAACAAAAGAATGAAACTTTAGAGTTGTTGCGAAAGGTTGAAAGGTATCTACATTAATCCAACATTAGAATGAAGTAAAGGGAAAACAGAGAAGCATTGTGAAAATCACGAATGTAGAGCATTGTTAATGTTTATAAAAGCAACGACGTTTTAAGTTTTCAACATAAAATGCATACAGGGCAATATTAACAAATTTATTTACCTCCGAGACAGTTGCATGTCTCTTACAGTTTACATTTTCTTTTTCTGGTTTAAAATTTTGTTGTCTATACGTTTGCCTCTCTCACCTCAAGGCATCACAATGTAGTAAGCTTGAACTGTATTAAAAATTAAACTTCTGCACATAAAACTCAATATGCAATCGACATTACTTTTTATTACGAAAAAAAATTATTTTTAATTAAACATAATAGCATACACATTGATATGCATTGTGAAGTATTTTTCTCTCTTTTTCAAGTTTCCAGTCTTTGTCGTTTTGATGGAAATTCAATGACAAAAATAACCACCACTTAAGACGATTTGTTATGCCTTCAAATGGTTTTATCGTAGCATAAAAATCTAATGATTCAGATCACCTTTCTGTTCCTTCTTAAAGCAACTTATAGGGTCAAGTAATAAAGCAATTAAAGTAGACTTCTGTATCCATTTGTAGCTAATCACGATCCACTTTCATTCAACTTTACTTTGCCAACTTAATTCAAGTTATAAGGTTTCCACTGTGCGACATAAAAAGCTGTTGAGAAATAAATTGCTGTATGAAAAAAATTGGAAGAAAAAGAAATCAATTGTGTGTTGTTACTCGTTGCACGAGAAAATATAAAAAAAAGATTGAAGTTTGTGTGTACGTTATGAAATATTAACGTGCAGAATTGTAAATCACAAAATGCTCAAATTATTTAGTCACTCGACAACACGTGCCATTTGTTTTTTTATTTCTTTTCTCCATTTGGATTTTTATCTCGAGTTATGGTGAAGGTGAAAAACATTGTCGATCTATTAACGATAGTTTCGGTATGTTTAAGACGATCGCGTTATAGGAAATAAGAACGCAAAGAATTTTAAGATGTTGACTTGCTCATTAACGAATTAAACGATTAATCAAAATATGACAATGCCGACCGCCACTTCCATGAGAATCAAGACTATCTAACATGACGAACGACCGAAATAATGTCGAGTAAATATAATTTTGGCAATTCAAATAATTGATTTTCGTGTATGTTCTGTTTAATTTATTGAACCTTGAACAGTTTAAGCTCCTTTCATCAACTTTGTACAATACCAGCGATTTTCAATTCTAATTTCATTTTAAAAAAATGGAATTAAAAAACCATAAGACAATAAACGTTAATCGTGCGGCCGTTTCGTTTCGATCAGCTCCGATCATATGTTTAAGAATGAACTTCATTCATTGATGTTGACAGTTCATATTTTAAATCTTTTACTACAAGCTTTAAGCAAAAGCAACAGCAACATAAACCTCAAGCATTGTAATTTGTATCTCATCACTTAGATGAACGAGAAATAGCTTTGAAATAAATAAGAAATAAAAAATTACAGTCTGATGTAGGTATAGAACCATATTTTGTACAAAGCTAAATAAAAAAAAAGCAATGAGTTGAACCTTGAAGCTCTCATGTCAGATCTTTAGTGGATTTCTTTATGGATTTTGATTTTCAAAAGAAGATCAGCGTTAAATTTAACTCGTGCATAGTCAGTTTCCCTACCTAAACTATGACTCATTGTTATTAGCCTTGAAATTCATCATTGAAGCTCTTTTTCTGTCATTTATTTCCTTTACCTTATATTTAAATCTGGTCGAGGTGCCCCGCATTGTTGTTTATGTTTATATTTATCACGATATCAGAGAGAATGAAATTGCACGGCACGATATCTGCTTTGAATGAGCATTCTAGAAACATAAGAACAATTCTGTGCTGAAGCAGCTTTTTTATATTTTTTTCCTTCAAAAGTCATCGAAAACCATGCTTATTTATTATTTAATCCGCATTCTGTCTCAACATCCGTAAAATAAGCGCGATATCCTGAAGAATATTTTTATATGACCGTCCATAACACTAAAACAAAAAGTTGTATTCAATGCATTCAAACTCATAAATTATTAATTATTGCAACAAAAAAATATAAATATAAATAAAGCGAGAACTACAACGATTAATAAATTACATTACAGTAGATTCATTTACAAAATGAAATTGTTCTGTTGTTGATTTTTTTTTTGCAAGAGATGAGGAAATAAAGAGCTCAGATCAAACATATATTTCAAATGTAATTCCGTTTGATTTGTCACATTGAAGCAGAAGATTAATTGTTTGCTTTCAATCACTTTTACTCGTTGCTTTCTGCTTTTATTCTTTTCCGAATGAAAATAATTTATTTTTCAGTGATTTTGTCAAATAGCAAATTAAATATTTACAACGAGAGTTCATTAGTTGGCAACTGCGAGGATTAATTTTTATATCATTCCATTACATGTCATCAATATTATGATTGATATTTAATGAACAGTTTGGATAATTTTATTGAATTTCCATTAAAACTCCCCCGCAAATTTCATTTCAGCTTCTGCAATGAACTTGTAATTTTTTTTCTCTGTTGTTAAATCTCTTTGGTCACTATGCAGACAACGGTCATTTATTTTGCAATGCGACTCAGTCTCAATGGTGGAATAGAAATTTATGTTTCGATTGGATTTTTCATTTTCATTTTTCCTTCATCATTTATCTATTGTGATAATTAAATAAAATTTCTTTGAATACAGATGGATCCGAAGAGAAACAAAACATTCGATCGAAACGGGCGAAAAAACCTCGCACACCGGGAGCATCTGTAGTTGTGCCCGAGCCAGATCAAAGACTCGATAACGAACAATCAGAGATTTCATCGCCAGTTATTCCTACAGGCTTTTTAAGTCCGTCAGTCAAAGAATACTTAGAACTTGGCAAATCCATTCCAGGTAAAAATAAAAATTGCTTTTAACAATGAATATCAATTTCAAAGAATCGCGTGGTCGGAGGGTGCTTCAGTACCAAAACATAAATTATAAAAGCCTTTTTAAGCACAATTTTTTTGCGATGCTTTTTGCTTTTTTTCTACTCTGGGGAGCTGCAGGGAGAAGTGAATTTTTTATACACATTTATGTTGTTATATGTTGAACACAACAAATAGAGGAAAAAAAACGTTGCTGGTGAATTATTCGGGGATTGTTATGAATCAATGTCACGTTTTTTATTTCCACTATAATAAGTCTGAATAAGGAAGAAATATTGGCTTAATACTTTTAACATCTTCTACAAAGGTTTGAATTTTTCATCATTCGAATTCGTACAAATGAACAAACGTCCAACAATACATTTGGGAGAATATTACGTGCCAAAGTACATATTAAACAATTAGGATTTATTTTTATTGCGTAACCCAAAAAGCCAATATTATTTTCAATTTCTGAGGTTAATTAAAGCTTTTTTTCTCTCGTAATTCGAATGAAACTTTTTGCAGGTCGACCGGGAACTGATTATCCAATTTTATCAGCTGTACCATATACAAACTTTTACTGTGATGAACAGCCATATCCAGGCTTCTTTGCTGACATGGAAACTCGTTGTCAAGGTGCGTCCTTGTTTGTTGTGAACTTTTAATTTAACAGATTTCTATCGGACATGACAATTAAACTGTTTATCGACTTTTTTTTCTTCTTTTTCCATCGCTTTAGGATGGCACTACTGTGGTAAGTAATGCAATTTAACATGTAATGTGACATGTTGTTACCGTGTTTTAACAATTGCTATTGTATAATTTTAGATATTGATGGACGGCAAGCAACTTTCCTTTGCCCCAACGGCACGCAATTCTCGCAAGCTGTATTTGTGTGTGATTGGTGGTTTAATGTTCGCTGTGATTTATCGCCACGACTTTATTCCATCAATGCCCGCTTGTATCAACGTCCAAAAGTAAATCCAACTAAGCCCCATCGGATAATCACAAAGGAATTAGTTGAGGATATTTTCAATAAATAAATTTGAGGAAACATGGAATTGATCATTTTCCCTTTTTTATTTTCTTTTTTTTAATTGCAATAGATTTGTGTATAAACATTTTTGTGTAAATACAATTTTTGAGTGTTTTTTTTAACAAACATCGTTCATTAATTTTTTCCTAATTTATTTTTATCATAATTTGCCATTTCTTTGCAAATGATTTTTCGCAAGCTTTTCAATGATTTTTATTTTCTTATTTTAATGTTTAATAATTTTTTTATGATGAAAAGGAAAACTCCAAGAGCAAGGGAACTCATAAATTATGTTGGTTTTTCATTTCTTAAAGCTTTTAGTTTCAAAGCTTTAAAGTCTGAAGTTTTATCTCTTGAATTAATTAAAAGAGTGACTATAAAGTTCAGATTGTAATCATTTGAGACATTTTTTATGACTAATCCCTAAGTGACAAATCCATTCGCCAGTTTAATTATTACTCTACTAAATGTCTTTCGAATCATTTTTTTATGTAAGCGAGCTGTAAATAATGTTAATTAGACTTTACTTTGTACACAATTTATTTTGATCAAAACCATTCCTATTACGATATGAAGATTTACTTGTAAACAGAAATATAAAAACTTTTGAAATAAAATTATTAGTTTATAAAATCGAGTTAATTTTCTGTTACTTCCACAGCCATTAGAAATTTAACTTCTTCAATCTCCTGTTGAATCTACGACAATGCTTTTAAAACAAACTCACATAAACTCTTCGCTCAATTTAATGATTTTTTGTTCTTTATGTTTTCTACGACATTGTAAACATGAATTGTGGACCTGTGTGGACAATAATTAATACTTCCCATGTACTTTATTCATTTTTAATTATTGCAATGATAATTAATTGTAATGTTTCAACATTAATTACACTATTTATTCGTTCACATTGTTCGTTGAGTTTAAAAGTTTCAATGTGAACAATGCTGGAGTTTGTTTATTTTTCGAAGGATATTTATAGAACTACATTTGATGAAAGGTTTCATTCTTTTTTGTAGATTCATTTTATGCTTCGGGTTATTTTGATTTAAGGACAATGTTTCGGTTAGATAATTAAATGATAGAAATAGATTTGCAGCGGTAATCAATTAAATTTGTAAAAATATTTTTTAAAAGAGCTTTTTAGCCCCTGAAAGTTATGCAAAATGTAAAGCGAAGATTTTAATCCAGATTTAGAAAAGTTAATCTGACCTACATGTAAATTATCCTTGTAACTTTCATAAGTTTCATAGTTGAAATGTCAACGTACTCCTTACAAAATTTACAATTCAGTTCCTCTTGTTATGACGAATGAATCCTTTATTTATTAACAATGGGATGTAATCAAGCATAGTGACTTTCATATTCCAATTATTTCCACTTCTCTCTTCGACAACTATCATTACTAATAAACAAACCATCTGAGCAAGACATCAACGTTCTTCTCCAATTTATCAATGCTTGTTATTTTTTTCGATTTTCGATAATTTGATTGCAAACATAGTTCATTCTTTGTTCGCATTTTAAATCAATTCTCTATTGAAAATTACAGAAAGGATACCAAATAGAAACAAAGCATAAAAAATTTTAATTTTCATTTGAAGTCTTCTTTTGCTTTTTTCTATATGATGAATAAAAATATACATTTTTAATAAATTCAACATAAGGATTGCTTGCTTGAGGGAATTCCGTGATTTCTTTTTTTATCCCCGATGCTGAATCATCATCAAAAGTAATTTAGTTTTTTTTGTCACAATTAAAACGAATGAAAAAGATAAAAAAAAATGTGAATGAAATGTTAATTAAAACTGACTGGATTTGTAAATTATGGAAGTGAGAATTGAAAATGATAGACACTGTTACTAGTTTTGAGAAGCTTCGAGTTGAAAGTTTAAAATGTCATTAAAAGATTTCGAAATCATGCTTGATTATGCTCACGAAGAGTTAACGTGTTTGTTAGTTCTTTAATTCACATACCCTGGAAACCAATTTATAGAACGTGAAATCAATGAAAGCTCAAGGATGAAGGGATAAATGTACTCTGATTCTCCCATCAAAATGTTTATAATAGTCACGATTCATTTAAATCTCTTAAACAAAAATTGATTTTCTCACAACTTTATTTGATTATTTTTCAATTATGGTTAATGAAAAGCTTATGTCAACTTCCAACGATTTATCGCAAGTCAGGAATAAAATTCAACAACACAGAATTAATTTTCTGTTGTTAATATTTCTCTCACATCATTGCATGATGAAAGTGATACGTTAGATTCATTTGATCATCGCAAATGTATATAATTAACCGCTCATTTCTCTTTCAAATTCAATGCCATTGCGAAAAAGATTTAAATATTTAATGTCTGCCTTTATTTACTCTTTCACCTTTTCGCAAACAGCAATGACAATGAACTCTAAAGCATCACAATGAAAAATGAATGTTTTTACTTCTGTAATGAAATTGAATTAATTTATTAGTTTCACATCATATCCAATGTATGCGTTCATGAATATTTAATTACCTTTTTATGTTCTCATTTGTGTAAGTGAATAAATAATTATTGTTTGATTTTCTCTTGCAACAATTCTTATGCATTTATTTAAATTTCATTACGAAATTTTATTGTTGACATCAATGAAATTGAAAGTGACTGGAAAGTAAATGAAGTGTCGGATTAAGATTATTCAAATACTTATGGATTATGTGGACTTAAGTCACGCACATAACTTGGAAGATCATTTTAGGTGGATTTTCATGAAATTCAAGTTTTTCCTCGAAACCCATTCAACTTAATGCAAACATAAACATTTCATAAAGTGACATAAAGTAAATGCTAAGCCTGACTTGTTGACGTTAAATAAATATGTAAATTTTAAATGTTTTTCCCTTCATTTGTGCTTCAGTTCCCCTGACAAAATTAACCTAATTGCACAACATGCTCTGAATCTTTCGCTTTTCAATGTCACATTACCTTTTTCGAGCAGAGTTCATAACTCATCTAAGTTGAGTGGTAAAATTTTTGTCAGATGACCCGCTACTGCCAGTTCAATCATGCAAATTAACATATCAAGGTAATTCTTGTTAATGCAGTTGATGTTATAGAAAGGTCAACGTAGGAAGAAAATAAGAAGTTCAAATATGACATGATCAGGTAATGGAATCGAATGAAGCAAATTAAACTTTCAAAATTGTATCGACCTAAGTAGGAGTTTGATCGATTCTGCTTATAGATGTTAATTAACCGGTATTTTTAAGATTTCGGTTAACCTAGTAACCGAAACAAAGAAACTCGGTTAACCTACGGTTAACCGAAACCTTAAAATAGTAATAAAAATTTAATTTTTCAGCATAAAAAATTAAAAAGAATGCTTGATATGCATATTTCCACTCTTTCCCCTATACATTTATTGCACTTTGCTTGCTTCTGACTCAGAAATATACAAAAATTTCAAAAAAAAGATTTTTTGGCTTTTAGTATCTATAAATTAAATATTTAGACAATTTTATAAAAATAAATTATTTTTAAAGGAAAGAATGCATATTACTAAACTTTAATTCGTTTTTATTCAAGAATTATCAAAAAAAACGAAACAATTTGTGAAAAAAAAAAATTATAGGAGTAAATTTCTTTAATTTCGGTTATTTTTCGGTTAACCTATAGAAATCTCGGTTAACCTAATATTCGAATAACCGAAAAAAACAGCCGGTTATCGGTTATCGGATATCGGTTCTGATATCTATAATACCAAATAGAAACAAAGCATAAAAAATTTTAATTTTCATTTGAAGTCTTCTTTTGCTTTTTTCTATATGATGNCAACTTAATGCAAACATAAACATTTCATAAAGTGACATAAAGTAAATGCTAAGCCTGACTTGTTGACGTTAAATAAATATGTAAATTTTAAATGTTTTTCCCTTCATTTGTGCTTCAGTTCCCCTGACAAAATTAACCTAATTGCACAACATGCTCTGAATCTTTCGCTTTTCAATGTCACATTACCTTTTTCGAGCAGAGTTCATAACTCATCTAAGTTGAGTGGTAAAATTTTTGTCAGATGACCCGCTACTGCCAGTTCAATCATGCAAATTAACATATCAAGGTAGTTCTTGTTAATGCAATTGATGTTTTAGAAAGGTCAACGTAGGAAGAAAATAAGAAGTTCAAATATGACATGATCAGGTAATGGAATGAAGCAAATTAAACTTTCAAAATTGTATCGACCTAAGTAGGAGTTTGATCGATTCTGCTGTGAAAAGTGCTAGATTTTGATCAACTATCAATCAACAATAAATTATGTTTGAATTGCAAAACCACGCTTATTTGCTAAATTAAATGAATTATAATGACACACACACACACACAAAATATTCTCATAAACAAATTTCAAGAAACAATATTCGTCATTTCCGCTTTGACTTTCGAATCCAGCATTATTAATTTCATTAACATCGACATTTATTGGTCTTTCAGTGTCAGTTTTGATACTGGTTGATATCAAACCGAGTAAAAAAAAGAGAAAGGTCGAAAAGCGATCTTGAATGTTTTGGCGAAAACTTAATCAATGCCAATTGTTTCCTTTTTTTTCTTACAAAATATCATTCGTAGATCGAATTCGAGTTTTGAAGAAACGCGAATGAAAGTAAAATCTTACGATGATTTTTTTCTCTTAACGCTTAAATTAAATGCACAGTTTCATAATATTTTTTTCTTGCACCTCATCGCCACTTGTTTCAACTTTTACAACTTCCTGAATGTCATCAATATGTACTTGGGTAAAATTAAACCGAAAGATATTAACAAAAAAGAGTTATAACAAGCACAAAGTTTCTTAGTTGCTAGTTAATGTTAAACTTCACAATATCGAGAGCAAAAGACAACACATGTGATGTGCACGAGCAAACAGAAATCAATCAAAGTGAAATTAAAGTCATTTATCATCCACTTTATCGTGATAGTTCATGATGACTTTTTTTTTCTCTCTCTAATCGAGAAGCATTTTGAGCATTAAACCAGCAATTATAATCATGCCGTGAATCTTCAAGCGACTGTCTGCGGAAAGTGGTTAACACAACATTAATAAAGAATGAGATTACGTCGAGGGGAAATTACTTGTCGTACCGCTCAAGTTAATCTTCTCTCGTCGTCGTGTATATATTTACAAGCGAAACACATCAGACATCCACTCAAACCACCGCAATGTACAAGTGTAACCGTTACTAAAATACTCTTTTTATTACAGAATTTTATTCACCACACCACGTGCACCTTTAGGCTGTGCTTGCTTGCTTGCTTTTTTTGTTTTGTTTTGTATTTCTTGGTTTGTGTATGATGGGAAAGTCTTCAGACACCAGAAGGCGATGTTATGTTTACAATTTTAGTTTAATACCAACCGTTGTTTCGCATAGACGCTTAAAAACTCACTGGCAAGTTTCAGAAAATTTATTTTAATATTCAGAATAAATTAAACATAAATTAAAATTAGTTCACATTCGCGAGAAAATTTTCGATTCGAGTATAAAAAGAAAAAGATTTGAAACATCGAAGTGGTGCAATGAGATATAAAACAATAGAATTGAATTAAAAGTGCTAATTACAAAGTGAAGGAAAAAATATCAAAATAAATCTCGATTTC